GTCTATTGTAAGCAATAGTTTGACTAACTGCCAAAAAGTGATCTGTCGCAATAAAACTGAATCTAGAGCACCGTTCATGCACGGGGGAAACTCAAGGAAGAAAGACGTGTTTTTCAACAGGTTAAAGCCAAATTATAATTACAGTGTTGAGTTTATAATTATATTGTTTTGGCGCCTTATATTAGATCAGATAAGATCAACTTTATTGATCTCACATTCACAATTTGCATAGATTCACTCAGGGTGTGCGAAAAGACAGGAAGTGTGAAAACATGTTAAAAAGGTAAAAAATATAGTCTTATTTGTGCAAGATATATAATGTACAATAAAAAAAAATAAAAGTGAGTATAGCAGTGCAAGGATATGTAGCTCGCGAAAATTCAATTTAGAAGACGTCAGCCCAAGCTACCCCCTCCGGGCCGACTCACATCCTCAGCCTATGGCGCAGCAAACGCCCCCTTCCAATCACACCGTGCCGGACAGACCAGCCGCTTAAAAGCGGAGCAACTCCCATTTTACGGCCTCCCGAAGCCTCGCATGCTCCTGCAGCCTCGCAAAGAATCGTTCTGGAGGAATCGCTTTGTCTACTCACGCTTACTCGTGCGTGTCCCTGGTGTCCTCTGTCTTGCTGCGTGTGGTCTGCTCCTCCTGTGGCTGCACCTGCTGCGGGTCTCGTGCGTGGTCCGTGGGTCTTTGCCGCTCTCCTCCTTTGCGGGCTCTTTCCGCGGGTTTGCCGCTGCTCGTCTCGTCGCAGCCTGCTGCTGCATACGGCCGGTCTAGCCCGTTGCGGTGGGAGCCGTGCGCATCCCTGTCTCCTTGTGCCGGTACGGCGTGGTCCCGTCGTGTTGTCCCTTGTCTTCTGGCGCTGTGGGTAAAGTATGAGATCCGCGGACGGTTTTTCCCCTCGCTTCGTACTGCAGGCTCAGTTGGCCCAGTGCTGGTGGGCAGGCTTCAGTTTAAAGCCCTCGCATTAGTCTGCAGGCCCTCTTTAACCAAGCTCCGTTAAATCTTCACTCTGACTGCAAGCTCCGTTTAATCCCTCACATTGGAATGCAAGACCTCAGTTTTAATCGCTCTCATTGGACCGCATGCTCTCAGTTTTAATCCCTCACTTTGGCCTGCGGGCTCTGTTTAAATCCCTCTCTGGACTGCAAGCGCTGTTTAAATCCCTCATATTGGACCGCATGCTCTGTTTTAATCCCTCACTTTGGCCTGCAGGCTCTGTTTAAATCCCTCTCTTTGGACTGCAAGCGCTGTTTAAATTATATCTGGAACTACTTATACCTGGAACTGTTGTACCGTATCTGGAACTGCCTATATATGGAACTGCCTATTTATGGAACCGCTATATTGGAACTGCTCATATGGTACGGCTATACATGGAACTGCATACATGGTACTGCCTATATCTGGAACGCTATATTTAAAAAAAAAAATATATATATAAAATTATAAATAACTATAAATAATTATAAATAACTATAAATAATTATAAATAACTATAAATAAATATAAATAAATATAAATAAATATAAATAAATATAAATAAATAAATAAAACTGCAGGCCTGTTGGATCCCTCTCACTGGACTGTAATCTCTCAGTTTAAACTCCTCACTTGGACTGCGGGCTCAGTTAATCCCTCACTTGGACCGTAAAACTGTTAAATCCCTCACACCGGACTGCAGCTCTCGGCTTAATCCCTCATTGGACTACAAGCTCTCTGTTATAAATCCCTCTTTAGGACTGCGGGCAACGTTGAATCCCTCTCTCTGGACTACAAGCTCTCAGTTTAATCCTTCACCTTGGACTACAGGTCATTTAACTCCCTCACACCGGACTGCAGGCTCTCAGTTAAACGCCTCACTTGGACTACGGGCCCGGTTTTAATACCTCACTCTGGACTGCAAACTCTATTAAATTCCTCACATTGGACTGCAAGCTCTGTTTAGGTCCCTCGGCGTCTCGTGTCCCGCAACCTCTTCCCGGCTCTCCGTGAGCCCCAAGTCGGCACGCGGCTCGGGCGCGGGAGGTGTCCGTGTGCTACGTCATTGGCCCCTTCTCTCCGTCTCGCTCTAACCCGACGGGCATCGCCACCCGCAAGCACTCCAGGAAGAAGCGTCTCATATTCGTCCTCTCCTGTCCCCGCTCCGGGCCCGCCCGAGCATCAACAGCCCCTTCCCTCCAGCGCCCCTCTCTTGCGGAGGCGCCGTGCTGGATCCTGCTAAATTATGTACGGCTCCCCTCCGTCCCGCATCTCCTCGACGACTTTCTCGTGGTAGACCCACCCTCGGACGGCTCCGGGAGCTCTCTCCGCAACCTCAAGCTCGCTTTCTACGCCCTGGGAGTCCCCCTCTCCGAGGAGAAGACCACAGGCCCGCCACAGCTCTAGAGTTTCTCGGCATCCGCCTCGACACGCGCGCCACGGAGGCCTCCCTCCCGCTGGGCAAACTCGAGCGCATCCGCGCTATCTCCCGGTCTGCCCCGTCATCCCTGTCACTTTCGAAGCGTCAGTTGCTCTCCCTTCTCGGGCGTCTTGATTACGCCATCCGCATAATTCCTCAAGGTCGCTCCTTCATCTCCAGACTCCTCTCCCTCGCCGGCTCCGTCTCCTCCCTCAACGACGCGGTCTGCCTGGCCGCGGGGTGCCGCTCCGACCTGGCGTTCTGGTCCCGCCTGCTGAGCCGTCGGAATGGCGTCTCCTTTTTTCTACAGCAACGTCGTCCTATCCTCGGACGCCCTGCGGTTCTTCACGGACGCAGCCCCGTCCGTGGGTTTTGGGGGATTCTTTCAGGACCAGTGGTTCGCCGGGCCCTGGCCCGACGCCTTCCCTCAAAACATCTCCTCCGCGCTCCACGAGATATATCCCGTGACCGTAGCCTGCGCGCTGTGGAGCCATATGTGGCAGAGGAAAAGGATTTCCGTGATGTGCGACAACCTCGACGTTGTCGAGGTTCATCCTCTCCCCAAATCATGTCTTTTCTTAGACGTATCACATGGCTCTCAGTCCTGAACAATTTTATTATCACTGCTCGTCGCGTCCCTGGTCACCTTAATTGTCTCGCTGATTCTCTCTCTCGTTTCAAATTCCAGGAGTTCCGACGCCGCTGCCCTTCTGCCAACCCATCGCCATGCCAGATCCCCTGCATGGAATCCCTCGCCCCGGACTAATCCCTCCGTCTCTTCGCCTCCTCATCTCCTCCGCGGCATCCTACATGAAGATGGGCCTCTCACCTTCCACTCTGAAATCATACAGTCTCGCTTGATCCATGATGCACTACACTCGCCTCCGCTCACGGAAAGGAGATCTCAACGGACCGTCATTCTCACTCTCGATAACCTCCCGATGTCCTCCAACTGGGTCAGAGCCCAACTCAAGTCTGTACTGCTGCTTTGTAACCTGTCTCCCTATCTCTACACAGCCCACTCCTTCAGAATAGGCGCCGCCACGCGTGCCGCGTCCCTGGGTCTCCCCCATTCTGCCCTTCAGCAGTTGGGCCGCTGGTCATCATCGGCCCTCTCCTCATACATCAGGCCTGACACTCCGACTATCCTCGCAGCCCAGCGCCTCTTGGCATCTCCATAAATCACTCGCAAAACTCCTGGTGGCGGCAGCAGCTGAGTATCCGCATAACGATCACAGCATATAACGGTCACAACAGATAGCGGTCATAGCTTAGTGATAGCGGTCATAGCGTCAGTGATAGCGGTCATAGCGTCAGTGATAGCGGTCATAGCGTCAGTGATAGCGGTCATAGCGTTAGTGGTAGCGGTCACAGCGTTAGTGTTAGCGGTCACAGCATAGCAAAAAATGGTTAGCGCATAAACGGTTCACAGCATAGAGATAGCGGTCACAGCATAGCGATAGCGGTCACAGCATAGCGATAGCGGTCACAGCATAGCGATAGCGGTCACAGCATAGCGATAGCGGTCACAGCATAGCGATAGCGGTCACAGCATAGAGCAGCCACGACGTCTGTCCCCTGCAAACCAGGCTGCAAAACCCCATCAACTCACAGCCTTTTTGGGGATTCTACGCGCCCCAGCGCAGGAGCCTCCCCTAACTGAAGGCCGCACCGGGGCCTAGGGCGCCAAACCACCTCTCATTAAAATACTCAAAAGCTTTCTTGTTTCACGTCTCTCCAAATTGAAATGTAGCTCGCGAAAATTCAATTTAGAAGACGTCAGCCCAAGCTACCCCCTCCGGGCCGACTCACATCCTCAGCCTATGGCGCAGCAAACGCCCCCTTCCAATCACACCGTGCCGGACAGACCAGCCGCTTAAAAGCGGAGCAACTCCCATTTTACGGCCTCCCGAAGCCTCGCATCCACCGCCTCCCCTCCTCCTCCTCTTCACCCTGCCTCCAACCTGCCTTCAAACCTGCTTCACGCTGCCAAGATGCCGCCACCAGTACCTAGGCCCCGGGGGGATTCTACGCGCCCCAGCGCAGGAGCCTCCCCTAACTGAAGGCCGCACCGGGGCCTAGGGCGCCAAACCACCTCTCATTAAAATACTCAAAAGCTTTCTTGTTTCACGTCTCTCCAAATTGAAATGCCAAACTGTCACAGTGGTAGAGCTTTTAAAATGACCATACGACTATAGTTTATTTACTCAGTTTGATGAATAAATAAACTACAGGTACTTGAATAAGAAAGTTTGTATGTTTACATACACATGAATGTATTTTTGGCCTGTGTCATACAAAAGAGAGAACCAATCACAGCAAAGTGTGCAGCAGAGAACAGGTTTATAGTAAGATGAAGACGGCATGTTGTCATATGACATTTTACCTCCTGTTGGAACAAACAATGATGTATGATTTACGACTAAAATGCAGGTACACCAAAGTTTGGTTCCCCAGCTTTATTTAGTTCTAGTATCTCAAGTTTTACCCTTGAAATTGTGTTGTTTACCTTCCAACGGTATAACTGTCAATAATGTAATATGCAAATCTATGCAGAAGCTCCCATTTCTTTTTCCAACGGCCTTTTTGTTTTTCCTCAATGAGAACTTTGTGCTTCTGCAGCTTCTGCACCTGAACCACTGTAGCACCTGAACCACTGTAGCACCTGAACCACTGTGGACCTGAACCACTGTAGCACCTGAACCACTGTGGACCTGAACCACTGTAGCACCTGAACCACTGTAGCACCTGAACCACTGTGGACCTGAACCACTGTAGCACCTGAACCACTGTGGACCTGAACCACTGTAGCACCTGAACCACTGTGGACCTGAACCACTGTGGACCTGAACCACTGTAGCACCTGAACCACTGTGGACCTGAACCACTGTAGCACCTGAACCACTGTGGACCTGAACCACTGTAGCACCTGAACCACTGTGGACCTGAACCACTGTAGCACCAGAACCACTGTAGCACCTGAACCACTGTAGCACCTGAACCACTGTGGACCTGAACCACTGTAGACCTGAACCACTCTGGACCTGAACCACTCTGGCATCTCTTCTCAGCATCTCTAAATCTGTGTAAAGTTCAAATTTTTTTTACTGATTCATAACTATGTTGGCAACTACTTAAATAATGATCATATAATGATAATAATTGACAAATCCCTCTTGCACATTATGGGGCACTTGTGGGAATGGTGTGTATGTTGTTTGTATCCAATGTTTTAAAAATAGATACAATCCAATATTTACTCAGTAGCAATATAGTTAAAGTTGTGTGGTCCAAGATCTCACCAGCAGTCGCCGTCACCGGGAGTCACACAACCTGCTAGTTTAAACCATTACATATAGTAGCAGCCGGAGTCAGTTTAATTCAGTTGATCAGCTTTCTCATCACAGTTTCTGAGGAGATATAAATCGTTATTGTGACAAAGATGGACGGGTCTGTGTTGTTCTTCCAGTTCTCAGGAAAGTGAAGTGGGCGGTTCTCAGGCAGGTGGAAGTCCCCTGAGCGTACCTGAGTGCAGCCCCTGCTCAGGCGCTATAAAAGACATGAGAGACACAGAGAGTAAAAGTATCGGCAACAACCTGACAACCTAACCACAGAGCAGTATCCTCGCGTTGGCGCCTACACTACAGGTAAAACTCATGTAATTTAATATACAATTCTTTTACTGTCTGCATCATTAACTTTCAGGAATGCCTTATAATTTTGTTATTATTAATCTTTTTTATTAAATAACAGGTTTATTCAATCTTTTTAATCTGTATGACTTTGTAAATGTGCTTATCCAGAATGATGCACACAGGTATTTTTAAATATATATAAACGCATGTCATTGCAGTGTTGTGTAGACTTGCACATAAACTCAATCTAAACTTGAATCTCAGCATTTGTTCAAGTATATTTATTATTGCTAAATGTCATACATACACACATGCACGCGTACACAGCCCTGGTGATTTCTCAAACAAATCTAATTACTTCACTGTTTGGCCATGTTCTGTTCGTTGTCAAACTTCCTCTTAAGATAACAGTTGTGGCTTGAATGACTTTAATACAAAATCAGAAATATCTTATGCATGTATTAAGTGATTTGTGTGTGTTTTTTTGTTTCTACAGCATTCCAATGGCTGTCCCGAGCCTCAGCACCGTCTTGACTAATGCAAACTTCACCATGTACCAGAACGGCATGACAGACCTGCTCACACACATCACCAGTAAGAGCACTATAATTCTACATTTCATGTTGTTGGGTTTTGTGCTGTGCAGAGGTTTATAAGTGAATTTATAACTAAGTGAATTGATATCAAACAATAATGAAAATAACTATTTAAAATCATTAACTAGAGTAGATCTTGGTAAAGAAGTTTGGTTTGTTTTTCTCTCTGGCATGTCACAGCTTGTGAATTGAAGTAAAGAAAACCAGGGTCACACAGCTCTCATCAAAAATATCAATCACTGACCGCTTTTTCGGGATTTCAAATGATAATGTTTTCTTAAGATGAATGTGTGTGGTCTGTCACAAGCGGTTTCTTTTACAAGGCTCTTTCTCACAGGATAAACCAAATAACTTGTAATAACATGGCATATTTTAAGATAGCGCTTCCACATGAGACAACCTGCATTTTTGAATAATATCCTTGTTACTTAACCTCTCCTGAAATGTGAGATGACCTCATTTTGAGAGGCGTTTAATCATTCGCTCATAGCGGTCAATGTTTAACAGACAAATTCCCCACAGACAATTTTATCAAATTGTTGTTGATAAAACTGTCTGACTACAACATACTGTACAACTCTTAGATCATATTTCTTTGCATTGGAGTCGTTATAACAATATATTTGAAGTCAAGAACTACTGAGTAAGAACAAGACCAATCACAGACTTTAGGCTGGTAAACCAGGGTTTATATTAAAGCTGGGCTACCTGACTTTTTACACTCTTGTTTCCCCAATAAAAATAGGCTTGTAAAAGTAAAATGTTGTAAACAAATCAAACCACATCATGCCTTCTTCATCTTATAAGAATGCATGTTTTATTTGCCATACTTGTTATAGAAAGTGCCCTGTGAGTAACTATTTGACACTTTGGGTTGGGATGTGATTTTCCCAACTCAAGGGTGGTCCTCTCTTTTTCAAGATGTGACAGATGCCAAAAATATATGTATGTGAAGACTATGGAATCATACTGAGCGAGGAACGTATAGATTTGATATAGTTCCATATTTGTGTTTTGAAGTATGTAAAGTTAGGTACCCCAGCTTTAACCACTCTGTCCCTTGTGCAGGCCCTGTCCCGGAGCAGCAGTACGAGCGGATCAGCCCTTTCTGCTGGACACGTGACGACGTTCTGGAGTGGATCAGTGAAAACATGGAGGGCACAAACTTCGACGCTCGCTCCATCAACCTGGCCTGGTCCCTGGACGGCCCCAGTCTGTGCCGTATGTCCCAGGCCGACATCATGAGGCTTTTTGGCCCCCAGCTTGGACATCACCTGTACCAAAATCTACTCAAGCATAAGGCCAAGCCAGGTAAACACACACACTACCAGAACATTTGCATTTATGCTGTGGCAATAATAACATGGCTGTAGTAAGTCAAATGCAACAGAAGAACCCTTTAGACGCCAGAGTTTTTCAGGAATATGATCTCAGAAATATGAAACAGACAAATGGTGAACTTTAGAATATTTATTTAGAAAGCGCATTTCACAGAGCGAGAAGTGCTTTACAACCTTTTTGGAGAATCTATATTTTTCTACGGTGATGACCAAAACTGGTGCCTCCAATCATCACCATTCATTTACTCCATTACATAGATACAGGGAGAACATGCAAACTCCACACAGAAATGCCTCGCCTGGAGGTGGATTCGAACCCAGCACAAATGCTAACCGCTGCGCCACAGTGCCGCCCAGTCCTCTTTATAGTGCTCGATGGAGTAGAGGACTAATAAAATCAATAAATAAAAGAACAACGTTTGTGGGAAACAGTGTAGAAAGTATCCTTGATTCAGGATCTCATGTGGAAATACTTTGGTGTCTAAAGGATTCATTGATTGTATGTAAAGTCATAACTACCACTGGTGCGAGTGACACAGGGTTAGAGTTACAAAAACATGAAGATTTACTATAATGGCACATGTCTAAGTGTCTATTTATTTTTATTAATTTGAAGAGAAAAACATTTGCATAAAAAAACCCTGATGTTTTCTTTCATGGATGGTGTGTAGTAGAAATCTAACGCTCCCAAACACTGGCCTTGCAGAGTTCCAGTCCCTGCCTGAATCAGATATGAATGAGAACTTGTGTGAGCTTCTGGACAACTTCCTCTTCGGACTGAATTCTGAAATGAGATTTCCCCTGCTCAGCACCATCACACTCGGCCAACAGAGTAAGCATTGTCTTCATGCAAATATTGTGTCAATACTATTACTGTAATAGTAATAACACTGTATCGTCTCACAGATGAAGGCCCCTCTGTCAAAAAGGAGGAGTTCTGTGACAATGACTTTGACCTGAGACTCGGCCTGGAGCAGCTGACTACTCTCAGCGACACAGTCTACTATTCTGAGAACTCGGACAGCGAACTGAGCTCGTCGTCCAACAGTAAGCTTTTAATCATGTTTGTTGCCTCATCATGAGCATAAACAAAGAAAAAACACGTCATATCTCTATGTTCTTGTCTTCAGGCTGTGTGTTCTCTGGTTTACGCACACCAGAATCCACGAGCGGAGAGTCTGACTGGGAGTCGTACCCTTCCAATAAACGTAAGGAATTATAAATATTGCCTTTTCTCTACTGTGTCTTTAAAGAAATATTTTGAAGATTTTTTTTTTCTTATCCAGAAATTAAAACAGAGATGAAAGATGAGGAATACTGTCAGAGGAGACCACGTGGGCGGCCTCCTAAAGGCAGCAGAGACCACAACCGTTCATTCACCACCCCCAAGAAGAGCAAGCATGGTGAGAAAAATAACTTTACATGAAATATTAAGCATTTAGTAGTGGAGAATCCAAGAGGAATTGTCATGGCAAAATCAAAGATAACTTTGTTACATAAAATTGAAGCATGTTGAAAACCCTATACTTAAATCTATTTGTTAAAAGTCAATTATTTACCACACAATGTTTCCACTCCGGAAATGATAGAATAACAGAATAACAACACAAAACGAAAAAAAACATTTATTAAAAAGGCTGTTGAGCAAAATAGGTCGTAAAATCAGAACTCAGTATTATAAATAGCTCGATTACAAAATTGTATTGTGCAATGCTAATGCGGCTAACTCTTGCTAACTCTTGCTATGTCTTGCTTAGCATCACACTCAAAAATCACATTCAAAAAGTTGTGACAAAACACTTCATAAATGTATCGTGGTGAATAATAAGAATGTGATGTAGATAAAAGAAAGTAAGGAATAAAATTGTAATAATGTAAACAGTTTAAAAGGAACGGCCTGTACAGCAAACTAAATACTAAACAGGCCATTGTCAGTTTCCACCACTCCATGACACACGGCACGTAGGCTTCCAAGAATCAACCGTCCAATTGTTTTATTACTTTGCTCCATTGACTGTAAATGATTATGACATAGATGTATTAATAGCCATGCCATATGTTTTAGCTCCACGTGGCTCTCACCTGTGGGAGTTCATCAGAGACATCTTGGTCCACCCAGAGAAGAACCCCGGCCTGCTGAAGTGGGAGGACCGCAGGGAGGGGGTCTTCAAGTTCCTCAAGTCCGAGGCCGTGGCCCAGATGTGGGGCCAGAGGAAAAAGAATAGCAGCATGACCTATGAGAAGCTGAGCCGCGCCATGAGGTCAGTATATCACCAGGGTTGTTGTGATTAGAAAAATATGTTCAATGCCAAAAAATAAATAAATTAAAAAGTAGGTTTATCTTGATTTCAGTTTATTTTTTATATTTTTGTCAGTGGAGCATGCTAATTCCGTACCACAATGAGTTCATAAGGTTTTTTCACAACAGAGTGGGTGTTGGGTCGTGACTGTGACAAAACGATGTTGTTTTTACTGCAGCATATGTACTGTAGTAATGGTAAATATTTGCTTTCCAGGTACTATTACAAGCGGAACATCCTGGAGCGTGTGGACGGCAGGAGGCTGGTCTACAAGTTTGGGAGGAACGCCAGCGGCTGGAGACTGAGCGAGGTGTCACCGGTCATGTGACTGCACTGCACATGCTCAGTGTAAACTCTAATAAGTTTATGACACTTACTTCCTCATAAAGGGAAGGTGTTAACAGAAACTGTAAGCCACTGTTATTGGCTCTAGTAGGTTTTATGAACCGTATTTTATATTTTTGTTGTTGTTATTGTTATTGTTGTTATTGACTCTGTATGTAAAAAAAATGAAAATTATCAACATATATTGATATGGTACAATTATCGATGGACATTCGTAGCTCTATTTGGGCAACATGTATATTTCTATTCAGGTTTTGTGAGTTATACAAACCAAGCACTAAAGTGTATAATTGTATATGAAAAAGTTAAAATGAATGTATCAGCTCAAGATATTGTGCTTTTCTGTATGTTATTTTATTTTATGTGGACAGTTTTATATTCATGTTTGGATGTTTGAATAACTGATTTTTATTAAATAAAAAGTACTCAAAATTCAAAATTATTTGTGTCCAGAAAGAGAGTGAAAGAGGTGTTATATTTGTGATTTAAAATGTTGTTATTGCTAAATTACCACTTCCTCATCATTACTTTTATTCATTGTTGAACTTTGATTTGAGTCACGCATCCTCTAGATAGAATTACTGCTCTCTGTACGTGTGTTTGAAAATAAACGTTATAATAATAATAAAAAACAGGAAATAAAAACTCACATCTCACCCTCTACAGTTTCTAAGCTCGGGTCCTCTACCAGAGGCCTGGGAGCTTGAGGGTTCTGCGCAGTATCTTTGCTGTTCCTAGCACTGCACATTTCTGGACCGAGATGTCCGAGGTTGTTCCAGGGATCCGCTGTCACCACTCTTTCAGCTTCGGGTGTTACTGCCACAAGTGCACCAATCACCACGGGCACAACCATCCAGGCCCTCTCCAACTCCTCTCTGTATTTTCAAGATTTTCATGCTCTTTCTACCTGATATTTTCATCCCTTGGAATTTTCACATCCATCATCGAGGCTTTCCTCTGCCCTTTGTCTACCATCACCGCAATATCTGGTGGGTTCATCATTACCATTTGTCAATCTGCATCTGGAAGTCCTCAGAGCCTCTTTGCTCGCTCGTTCTCTACCACCAAAAATCCACTAGAGCAGGGCTAACTTTTTTTTTTTAAACAAAGCGAACAAAGCATTTTACTTTGGACTAGAGCAGAGAAAATGGTGCAAACCAAGCGGCTCCACCTCTGCTGCTTTGACCCGTCCTGCTCCGCCCCCGGTGGATGGCCCACCTCTGCTGCTTTGACCAGAAGTGCTGTTTCTTATTATTATTACATTACTACTGTTAGCTTTTTAGAATTTATAAAAAGTGCCTTCATTTGACAAGTGCCTTCAAAAGTCAACAGCGGCTAAACTAGAATGGTCAAAAAAAATATCTGTACAAATAAATATTTGTAATTGTGGGCACATTATTTTATTTTCAATGCTTGAATGTCTCTTTCACTCTCTCTTTCATGAACCTTCTGCTGTTTGCAGTTTGGTCTCGGTCTGGGCTCACTGCTCAGAACTCGTTTTACCTGTCAACTGAAAGTTGATAACATCTACATGCTGTCATATCAAATGTTGCATAAGATGGGCCAAGAGGTGAACAAAAGCACTACCTTTAATTTGTTTTAATCATGAAACATGTCAATCATGATTTTAATGAATGTGATGTTTTGTGTAGTTGTCCTTCCTGTGCACAAGACAAACAATGTGGGGTCTATGCTGGTAATTAACTTTAAAGATGCAGGTGGATTATGATCTGACATTTCAGCCCAGAGAAGTGCAGTAGCAACGTTACAGCAGAGAACCCTCTGGCAGAAGAGCTTAGAGCGATAACGCAGAGAGATCAGCGGTCCCAAATGCACAATGACAGCACCTCTGAGGTCTGCCCTGAGGCCTGCTCTGAGGTCTGCTCTGAGGTCTGCTCTGAGGTCTGCCCTGAGCTCTGAGGTCTGCTCTGAGGTCTGCTCTGAGGTCTGCTCTGAGGTCTGCCCTGAGCTCTGAGGTCTGCTCTGAGGTCTGCTCTGAGGCCTGCTCTGAGGTCTGCTCTGAGGTCTGCTCTGAGGTCTGCTCTGAGGTCTGCTCTGAGGTCTGCTCTGAGGTCTGCCCTGAGCTCTGAGGTCTGCTCCGAGGTCTGCTCTGAGGTCTGCTCTGAGGTCTGCCCTGAGCTCTGAGGTCTGCTCCGAGGTCTGCTCTGAGCTCTGAGGTCTGCTAGAGCGAGAGTGCTATTCACTCAGCCACTGTGTTGCACAGGGGAATAATAAGAACTGCTGAGCCTGTAAATTTCATTCATCTGTAATTAAGTAAATTCTTAAATCATGTGCAATGTGCAATACTGCAACTTCAGAATGTCACAGAACAATGTCACTTTACCTCATGTCACTTTACTTTATATACTTTTTATCCTGCACTATTTAACTGTACAGTATATAACTCTGCACTACTACATATATATATTTTCACTGGTATCGAAGCATTTTCAGCATCTACAGCTAGTTATGTTAGTTAAGAAACATAGCTACTACTTATTTGTATATATTGTGTGTGATCCCAGTGTGCTCTTACTACTGTCCTGTATGTGCGATGCAACATCAAAATTTCCCCACTGTGGGACGAATAAAGGAATTGTTATCTTATCTTATCTTAAAAACGTCCAAAAGGCCGCATCTGGCCCCCGAGCCGGGATTTGCCTACCATGGATCTAGACACTAATACAGACAGTGTTATAGCCCTAATAATGAATAATATTTTGACTCCAACTATGTTTTTTTAATAGGAATGTTATTTTCAAAACATATTGTATTTACAGTGAGTGCTTTGATCATCACAAGTCAATAAACTCTTTATTTATTTTTTTAAACCTCCTCATTATGATTATCCAGTTAAAACCGTTGTCTATCATTTGTTCTGTTCCATGAGCTGTTGGCTACATTAAAACATGAAAAACTGCGGCTAATATTCAAGTTTACACAAAGTGTACTTAATAGTCCAGCAAGTGCTGTACCTAATGATCACTGTTATATATTATATGATATGCTTATTTCAGCAGAAGCTTTGAGTCTGGGCTTTGTTCTTTCAGCTTCTGTGTACACAGCATTACAAATTTACTAAATGTCAGATGGCAACAGTGGAATGGATTCACACACTGCTGTTTGTCTTTGTCATTATTTCACTGTTGAACTGGAGCTTCTTCATTGTGTGCCCATTATTATTATGTAAGAGCAGGTGACATTGTGCCATCATTGATGTGAGATCATATTTCAGCCTCATTGAGCAAGCTTTACTTCTTACTTACTTTGTGGATATGTTATACAGTGGTCCCTCGTTTGTCACAGTGCCAGTGGTTCTAAAAACCTGCATTAAGCGAAACATGCAAAGTAGCAGCTCAATATTTTGAGGCTGTAAAACCTCTCACCACACACTTTATATACTTTTCTAACCACCTGGTCTGAATGCTGCTGCAACTGTCAAAAGTCATGCATACACTGTAGGACTGAGGGCTATGGGAACACAGCGATAGTTATCTGGACTAATCACAAGCAGCAGAATTTAAATAAAGGTAACTGTCATGTCCTACTCGTGGTTTTAGTGTATGATGTTGATGTGATGATGAGGAGAATACACGCGGCACAGAAAAACCATCCTGTAAAAGTCACGCAAAATCCCTGAGACAACAATGCCTCAAAAGGTGAACCGCGTTATAACGAGGGTCCACTGTGTTTTAATGCTTTTAATTGTGAATATTGGAAATGGAAAAGTGTTCATGGAGAAGTTTACTGAGATAGAATATGTAGAAATGTAATCTCCAGGAAATAACAAGGTTCAGTATTTTCCCCCACATTCCAACTGTAATTTCGTTCCAACATGTTTGTCATTCTGTGGTTTGTATGAAAATGCAGTTTGACAGATGTACTCTTTAATTGTCAATTTAATTTCCATTCTGTCTGATGTCTTTGAGTTTCAGAAGTTTAACACATCATTAAACTATTTAACTATAAGACTTTAAACATCAGAAGAGATCATTATATTTGTTAGTGTTCATTGTTAAGGGCTATGTTTATAAATTGTATTTCATTGTACAATTGTTCTGAAATAATCATTGATAAAGTAGTCAATAAATATATGTGAAGGTTTTTTCCTTGTAAGACGTAATAGTTGTGGTATTTACTGCAGTAATGTGGAGGGTGACGTTATAATGACATAATGGTCTGTAACAATCTAGGAATACGTCTGTTATTTTAGATTCAAAGGTTCTTTATGAGTGGGTTTGTTTTCAGTGTTTCCCAAACAGGGGTACGTGGACCCATAGGAGTGCTTGAGGGTAAGTCTTTTTTTTTTTTTTTTATACAAATATAACTGATAGATAGTATATGGATTCCTGAAGGAGAAATCCTAGGAGCAAAAACATACTAAAAAACAAATATGAGAAATAACCACAACCATTCAGGGGATGTAAAACTAATTATGAAATTAAAATATTTCGGCTGAACTGCTGTTAAAGTATTCAAAAAGAGCCGAGTAAATTAATGCCTTTGACATATTAGGGCCATTTAATGATGACTTGACATGAAAATCTCACATTTTGCTACTTTAACTAATTGGAAACAACTGCTGTAGATTTTCATATTATGTCATATCATTGTCATCCTCCTTATTAGTCCATTTCTGGGTCGGGGGGATGACAATGAGAGCTGCCACCCAAGTCTCTAGCACCGGTCCCTCGCTGATCCTCCTGCAGGTGGTGGGTCCACAGGGAGATGGCTTCTCCGTCATCACCGAGATGACCTTGGTCTTTCAGCGAGGGGCTTAAGGCAATGTGGGGTTAAGTGTCTTGCCCAAGGACACAACGACAGCAGACATCAGTGGGAGCAGGTGGCACAGGTCGTGGTGGGCTCAAACCATTACGTCCAAAGACCAGTGCTCTACCAACTGAGCTACTGTCGCCCGCAGTTTTGTTTTTGTTTTTTCATATTAAAAAAGAATAATATCTAATGAGGGGCTAAAGCTAATCTATAGATCATTACATCTGCAACTCTGTGTTAAATAAACATCATAGTTCAAACAAATAGTTTCTTCAGTGCAGTGCGGTGCCACACTCTGGCCGCTCTGTGTGCATCAAAGTTCTTCAGGTATCACCAAGCGCTTTGTTTACTGCACTTTCAATGTGTTTCATTTTTGCCCTTACCAAAGTTATCTAAATAATTTATATTTTTATTCAAAGCTTTTCAGTTTCTGAGCAGAAGACACAAAAAGTTTTCACAGCGTTCACATGGTTTTATATCACGCTAAATAAGGAAACTCGACCTAAGCATGCACCACGTCACCAATACATACATTTTTTTTACCTTGAGATAACGAAAGTGCAAAAGTACTGACTTCAAGTTCAAGTTGGTCTTATTTCGGTCCCTGACTGCAACTACAAAAGTATGTTCATAAATACAGTTCTGGTGGAAAGCCACTGTCCACTGGTCCGACTCGTCATACACCTTCACTTCATACACATGACCTGATGTTTACCCAATCTGTCCCCACCAAGCAATTCCAAATGCTTCATATATGTGGCAATCGGGCAATGTGGGTGAGGTGTCTTGCCCCTGGACACACCAAAAATGTAGCATCTAGTATACCCAGTGGTTATCCATCGAATTTCTACCCAGGCTCTGCACTGCTTAGCTTCTGAGATCTGATGAGACAAAGTCCTCTGCTGCTGTGATTTAGGCCAATACAAAATAATTGTAATTGAATTGTGTAGAACTGGATTGAAACTCACGTTGAACAGCATCAAGTTGTTTACTTAATGTCAAACTAAACCCTGATTAATCATTCACTGTCATATTAACATTCTTACTTGAGTTTCTACCGCTGTCCTTCAGGGTCAACATACCAGTCCAACAGGTAGGTTTGGCACGCGTTCAAGAAGCGCGCCTAGTTTACTGGAAATGATGCTGTGTGTGCCAGAAACCATGTGACCCAGGGAGGAACCGCCTTTTATGGTCCTATAACCTCACGCTAAGCAAACATTCACACTGTTATCAAGCGCCTTCTTAAAGTTACTCATCAAGCCCCGCACAATTTACAGACAAAGCAATCAGCACTTACGCAAAGAGGGAGCAATCGTATTATCAGAAGAGACTAAAGTCAAAATGATGATATGTGTTTGTATATTTCTGAAATGGATTTTGATTGAAAGAGCACCTGACTGAACCTTTTGGGGGTGGGGACTAACTACGTGTTTGAAATGTGTCTCTACAAACAACTCATCAGAAAGTCTTTCACGAATAGCACTGCTGTGATTACTCATACAATATGCTCTCTAGAAGTCTTCATGCTTCAGTCTTTCTTGGCCCACAGCCGGGAAACTTTAATTTGACAGTTAAAAATAAGTGTCTCTGTAACTAATTGGTGTGTAAAAAATGTGCTCCTCAAAAGCACAACAAAAGGTTGTGTCATGAAACCAATTTAAGATCCTGCGTCTTGAAAGCGTCTGGATCAGAGGTGTCAAACTCATTTTGCATCATTTATTTGCATCATTTAAAAAGTAGTAGTTGGTCAGGGGCCGAAACTATTTTCTAAGAGGAAAGTTTTGAGAAAAAGTGCAGCATTTGTTTGTTTGCATTAAGATAGTATTTTGACAATTTGAAGATTGTTATGAGTCTAGATATCATTTTTGACTATTTATTCTCAACAAAATCAGTCACTGTGTGTTTGGATTGAGCCAAAACTGGACCAAAAGGTGAAGAAGGCCGTAAATGTAGACTGATGCCAATGTTTTATTTACTTTTATTATTTAACTATATCTAAATACATGCGTTAGGTATTACATGCCATAGTAGCCATTTTGACACATTAGCATCAATACTGCAAGTCAATCATAACAATTGATCAGTTCAAGGTCTACTAAAAATGGTAGACCTTGTTACCTTGATTCATTTCTAGATTTACATTAATTTCAGGTAAATTTCAATTAATTCTAATAAAAAGAACACATCTCACCTTTATGGACAGAAATATCAAACAGGAATAATCATGTGCTCTCTTCAGCTGCTGCTCCAGTTTTCCTCGCCGTCAGAGGAGCGACCCCCGGGACATTATCTGTTTGCTTTAAAAACATGTGAAAATTGGTTTTCTTTCTGCTTTATTACATGATTTTCTAATCTGTTGGCAAAGCAACAATGTTGTGACATCCTTAAAAACTACTGCTGTGATTTTGGGAGATACAAAAATATAACAATTTTAAAAATAAATTGAGTGTATCACTGTCAGTCAGCTTTTTTGTCTAGTGCAGTAAATTATGGAGTATAATTTTTTTTGCACTATTTGCACCGTTCACACTTTTATTATGAGACAGCTGCTTGGGTCTTATTATCTTGTTATCTGGAATTTCCTATGTTTACCATTTCAATTTGTTATTAAAGATCTCGAGTATTGCCATTATTGCTAAAGGAAGTGTTCAAAGCTTCAACAAGTGTTCAAAGACACATGAGTCCCTGTTTATTTCATTCATAAAAACCTCCAAAATGTAGAAGAAAGAGAAAGTTTAATGCTTGTGTTCATTAGCTAAATACCATGATTATGGTATACTATACTCAGTGGTTGCCATAGAGATGCAGTTTTGTATTTCAATAGTCAATAAAAAAGTTATTTTCCTTTAAATTTGTGCATGCTCCTCTGGTTTTAGAAAAAATGCTGCCCTGGAGGAAGTTGGTGGAGGCAGATGACTGAATAACTGACTGAATTGAGACACAGTACTTTGAACGATGGCACGAGTTTGTCTAGGACCGGGTCTGGTGCGAGACGCCGCCCTAACCCTTTTAACTACAACAGTCATATTTCTCGGACTAAATGTTGTTGGATAAATGAATCATTAAAAAGGGACGTACAGTGAATGTGGCTGTTTTTCAGTTCTTTTATTGCTTGTCTATTTGCACAAGGATAGACACAGCTAACATGATGCAAAAGAGGGACTACAAAATACATTGTAACATTGTTTCATATGTTGCAACTAGGAATTTGAATGTCTCTTATCTGAGAGCTGCATTTCTGTTTAAAGGAGACGTATCATGCACAACCTTGTCAATGTTGTAACGTTTTCACCGTGTTCAGCAGGTTTGTACTCTCATCAAAAACAGACCAGGAGCTGCTTTTTGATCCATTCACACTAATAACAGGACATTGGCTCAACATATAACTGCCCCTTCTGTCTAATATCTCCTGCCCCTCGCCTATACGATTTAATTGTAGAAGTACAGTTCAAGTAGTTTTAGAAGTTAAATTATGTTCTTTGAGATTGCTACCGGGAATCTTCAAATTTGTAGAAACGTTTTGTCTTTTTTATGAGACACCTCCCTCTGGTGGTAAGACCAGGATAGGACAGGCCAATAGCATTATTTACTATTGATACTTGTTTCACCATCTATTTTCTACTGAAGATAATATTTCACATTCTAAAACATGAAATGACTGATTATAAATAGTCTCATAAAAAAGTAATGGTAAAAAATAATGCATAATAATTCTTCTTTAATTGCAATTATCACATACAGAACATGTAGATGTTGCCGGATCTACATATATAATGTTTTGCTAAAAAAAAAAAAAAAACTTGAAAAAAACCATTCATAGATACCACTTGCACGAGTGGAATTTTGTGGGTAATATATGTATTTTGTAGAGCTGCAACTAACGATTATTTTGTAATCAATTAATCTATCAATTATTTTTACGATTAATCGAGTAATCGCTTGGCTGTGAATTGTGTAGAAAAAAAATATTTTTTCATCACAAAAAGCTAAAGTGGCAACACTCGAGGACGTATTGATGGCGTAAACTTAAAGTAAATGTTTGTAACAGGCTCTTTGTACTAATTCTGCTATCTGATTGGATGAGACAGACAGATATTCATGAAATTATAAAAACAAAGTCGGTTTTAATCAAAAATACTACATTTTCATGTCATTTTTGCTCTGTTTGAGTCCGTGTGAACCAGAAAACGATTAATCGATTACTAAAATAGTTGTCGACTATTTCAATAATCGATTAGTCGTCGATTAATCGATTAGTTGTTTCAGCCCTAGTATTTTGATTATTATAATTTAAAAATAATACCATTCAGCAGGCTAATAGGATAAAGATTTGCCTCAACATCCAGTTCAACAACAATTTTTGCTAAAATAACTCGTGATGGGAAAAAAAACTGCTGGTATAAAAGTTGTTGTCTTGCTACTGTAAAATGTCAGCCAGCTTGTCGTGATAGAACTCATAGTTATCCTTGCAGTCCTCCCACAGATTGAAGGCTTCCTCATCGCTCTCCACAAACGTGTCCCAGGTGTAGGAGAAGTCCAGGGGCTTCATCATTCGCAGCTTACATCCAGCAGCGTGCAGTGTCTTCAGCCCGGCCTGGATCTCCGGCTCCTCCCACTCGAAAAGACGAGCAGAAAAAATACTTAACTTCACAGTCTTCCGGGCCTTCAGAACCTCTGCAATCTTAGCAGCACAGGTAGCGCACGGGCTGGACGACACGTACCTGAGAGAATGCAAACACATTGTCTGCATTTTAGTACGATTTCACATTCTCCCTTGATAGGTTTTGGTTGAGACCAAATATACTGAATTTCACCATTGCAATAGGCATGGGAAATGTTCATTGACTGTTCAGCTTGAGTACCAAAACACTTGACACAACATAAACAATCTGGCCATTATTTATATTATCTTTTCATTTTCATTTATTTATTTATTGAGTTGGGACAATGCACATTCATCAACATTGATGCCTTAAGCGTCAGTGTAAATGTGCCAGACTTAGCATAACTGCTCAATCTCAGCCGTAGTCACGAGGCAGATTCCCAGGTAACATAGACACAAAAGACAAAGATTACTTAATTAGATTGCTTCCGCTTTATAATTATCCACGGAAAATGTTTATCTTGTGTCTAGGGCATTGTTGAATCATGTTTGTGTAATTTAATAACAATAATAAAGAGTAGTTGTTTACTATAGTAGTCACTGATAACAACAGATACAGTATAAAGCATGCATGGAACACAACTGAGGTTTGAATCCATGTGTTCTCTCATTTCAAATAGAATAATGTGTATGAAGTCTCATGTTATGAATTGAAAACATACATATGTAAATGTAGGAACTTCTGCTATTAGTTTTGTGCAACCCCTGAAACACATCGCTCGGATTGATAGCCTCGCTAGTCTCCATAAAATTAAACTGAATTGCAAGCGCGTATACTCACTTTTAAATACACATATATATATATATATGTATATATGTATGTGTAGTTAAAGAAGAATATATATATATATATTCTTCTTTAACTGATGAATAAAATATGAAGAGGTCTCTAGTGAAAGAAACTATACTGTTAGCAGTCACTTTTTTTGCATCTTTAACAAAGCGCCTCTATTTTATATTTGCATTTCTGTTTTGCATCAGCCTTCACATCATGCAATCTTACCATAGGTTTATGGAGTGAAGGTGAACTGTAGAGTGACCACAGCTGGCATCTTTGTTTAAGCGTGCTTTTAGAATAGTGTCTATAACAGTACAAACAACATCTGTTCTTTAACAGACCAGTTTTATAAAATTTCACTTAACAATAATGATAATAATAATAACAATAATAATGCATTGGTTTTATATTCTGCTTTTTTGGACACTCAAAGACGCTTTACATGTCATTATTCAGTCCCACCATACACAGAGTTTAATATTCTTATAATAGTAAATGCTCTCGTGGATTAGTGATACCTTCTGTACTTTCACTGGGCACAGATAGAAAAGCAGTTTATTGAAAAATAGGTTTATGGGTGTTTCTTTTTTCATCACCACATCAATAAAACGTGCCAGTCCAAAGATGAAATAAATGTGTAACCAGGCCGAGTATTTGACTCTCACCACAAGAGCAATAATGAACACTTGATCAAATGTTAACCCGAGATCTCCCAGAGCAGAGGCTTATAGTTTTGGATTACTACAAGCTTAATTACTTGTGCTCATTTTTGGTGTTCATTACATTTGTATTTAAGTAGTTTATCTCTATGAAACTATTTTTTTTATTTTTGAAACATGAGACGTTCTATCTTTAACCATTTTTGGTTGCTTGGTAACCAACTTTCTATGAAAATCAAAGCCTTTTTTTCAAGGTGCTGGTCCTGAACTGGACTGGAACTGGTCCTGAACTGGTTCTGGGCTGGTTCTGAGTCAATTTAGTTTTCCACCAGAGAAGGACGAGTGCTAACAAACTTGTTTTGCTGCATCGAAGTTGTAGGCCTGATTTACATTCGGTCACTACTATTTTGAATTTGAACATGATTAAAAAGTACTTTTTTTTTTTTTGCTCCTAATGGCAGCACAAAGTGCATTTCTTTTGCTCCTAATAGCAGCACATACCATGTGATGGTGTACTTGATGTTGGGGTTGTAGTCGGGTAGACACTGTGTGAAGAAGGCCTCCTCTGCGTGGGAGCCTGCGTGCTCGTCCTCCAGGTAGCCCCTCAGCAGCCCCTCCACACTCCCCCGGTCCACCAGGTAGCACAGAAACGTCTTGTTCCGCCCAGACGAGTACTCCACATTTTTGAACTGAAACTTGAACATAAAGGGATCTATCCGGTCCCTGCACACAACACAGAAGATAACAATTATAAGGACCATGGATCAGTGCACTCAAACAAAATCAATAATATGGAAGCAGATTTTAACACTGTGAGCACATTATTATAAAATAGACCGCTGCTTCCAAAAATGGGGTCCAAAGTTCCTCTGGGGACCTCAGAGGCAATGCAAGAGGATAAACTACAGAAGAAGAGGATTTATGGGTTTAAATGCTTCTTCCTTTTGCCTTCAAGCTGGGTGCTGCTGCCCTCTACTGATTTGTATCTCTGTCTACAACATCATCTCATTGTCACATTATGCTGGACTTGAAATCTGCCTGGAGGAGCCACTGCTGGCAGGGGTTAGGGGCTACTTCAGATCTTAAAAATAGATGTAAAAATATGTGTTGTCATGTATCAGAGGTGAAGCTCTACTGGGTATTGCCGAGTACACTAGATAGTATAGTGATATAGTATTTTCTCCTTAAAAGAGACAAAAAACAATATTCAGGATCAGGACACAAAATTAAACTGCAATACACAGTTTTAAAAAGGCTTGGGAAGAGCTCCTTATTTGGCTCCAACCCCTCTCATTACAAAACAAAGCAGACACTCAGACAAAGTACAGGCCCAAACAGTCTCTGACCATACACCTGTGTGCAGCCAAACTTTTTGTATTCAGATAATTATCCGTCACCACTGAAAGTGCAGATACAAAATGCCTTCTGTTAGAGCCTAAATGTACCTTTCCCCAGCCACAAAGCAGCTGGGGAGCTCAAGGTAAGAAACATAAACTGTTTCTTACCTTGACATAGGAAATGTTTTATGTTGTCGTGGATTACTGCTCACGGGGGCCGAAAAAGAACCTTTATTACAATATTTGGAATCAATTAAAGCTTGGCAGCCAGGGATTCTCAAAGTTGACTAAACCTGTTTTATCTTTGTAACAAAATGCATCCGAATTTTCCAAGTTAACCTTTTTAGTAAATAGAAATAAGTCTGGTTCAGCCTTGATGTCAGCAAAACTCTCTGATTCATCCAAAATGATACTTCCTGATACCAATAATTTAAATACAGCTCTAGTTAAAGCCATGTCATCTGTGAGGTTCATCCATCCCCATCATGTACACACATAAACAACATCCCACTTGAATATAAAAGCTTGTACCCCGTGATGATTTCAAACGGAGGCAGCTCCATGGGTTCCACTTGAGGCTCTCCATTCTCTGCCGCCGCTCCGTTCTCTGGGGGTGCTCCGTTCTCTGTGGGTTCTCCGTTCTCTTGGGGTGCCGCTCCGTTCTCTGCGGGCTTCTCCCCCTTTTCCTTCACTTCCTTCACACTTTTGGCTGGCTCACTTTCCTCCTTCTTCTCCCTTCTTCTCAGAGCCAAGCGACTTTTATCTGCCATGTTATCAACAGGTTTGGGCCCAGACGACTATAGAGGAGCAGAGAGCATGCACACAACACCAGAGTATGGGGAGAGTGAGGTCTGCAAATGTCAGGGAGAACTGGAGAAGCCGGACCAGAGGCGGGGGGCTCACACCAGCACATATCTGACCCACTTGTGTCTGTGACCCCCATGGCCTCATCTGCTGTCCCAACGCTTTTTCACAGTATGAAGTGATTTCATGTTCACATAAGTAAAAGTTTGCACAAAATATAGATCTAAAAATACTGTTCCTCGGGCTTCTCCCAGCTAATATTAGTTTTATCTGCAGACAGACGCAGGCAGCTGCTCTCCACACATGCAGCACGTCTATTTAGAGAAGTAGGTTGTGACTTTGAATTCCCGAATCTATGAGTTTGCACATTTACATTTAGGGAAGATGACACCATTCATACTGGTTGCTTGGGCACTTTTTTGGAAGCTGTGATAATAAAAATCTATCACCAGCTGTCAGACTGGATCTCAACTTTTAGACAAGTTCTAATGTAAAGCTGTACCTCTCAACCTGTTTTGTCTTGAGCACTTCCTCACTGTTGTCCCACTCTCCCCTGATGCACTAGTTTTTATTGAGACATTATGAACAGTGCCGATCCAAGCCTTTTGGGGGCCATGAGCAATCATTTGTTTCAGGGGCCTTCACCTACAATTTAATATTAATGCACGGCTGTAATCATGCAACAGCAAAAATAAATTATACAGTGAAAAATGCAGATGAAGATGTTTTCCCTCTTTTATGGTTAAAGCTAAGGTACCGAACTTTATCATTTTTTAATAACAGTGGCGCAGCGGCGGTGGTTTGATTCCAACTCCTGACAGGGCTTGTCTGTGTGGAGTTTGGATGTTCTCTCTGTGTCCGCTCCAATTTACTCCAGGTGCTCTAGTTTCCCATGTTGCTAAAAAATGTACAATAGGCCTGAATGTAACGAGGGAGTAAATGAATGGTGATTGTTGGAGACTTTGATGTCTTTCTTTCGTCATCACTGCGTGTGAGGAGAATGAAAAACATCTCCAATATCATTGTAAAGCGCTTTGGGGGCCTGTGAAATGTGCTGTGTAAACAAAGATCACCTAAACACTACATGTAGATTTTCCCAACAGTCACTATGGGGCCCTATAAAATAAAATATATGGTGAAAGACGCATCAAGGGTACACGGCTCCTCACAGCAGCAGTAGAACGCTTCATTGAGTTGAATGTAATTTCAAAACGTTCTACCGGTCATTATTTTTTATAACGGACCTCTCAAAACAATAATGGCCGCTGCCCATGGCAACGCACTCTCTGCTTGTATTTCAGATGCGTGGATAACTCTAGCCTGGTGAGACCAGAATGATTCCCCTCTGTATTTTTTTATCCAGCGGGGGATCACCGGCTGGTACAGCGGTGAGTCTGGATTTTTCCAGGCTAGAATAACTCCGCAAGTAGTTCCGGCCACTCCAGAGCTAGCCACGCTCAATAAACGCAAATACCAATCAATCAGCACACTTAAATGTTAATCGGAGAATATATTATACATATACAGTCTTAATACAAGTGCACGGAAGTTTTCAGAATTTTCCGTTTACGTTTTCATGACAAAAACACTGATGTAATGCGAGAAAAGGCGATCCCGAAAAACCCGGAAGTAGATACCGGCACATTTTAGGAACATTTGCAGAGGATCGAATTATGGATTTAGGTTAGGTTTATGTTTGGGTCACTCACCGCTGATGTTCAGAATTCTTTGTTCAGTTTTCATGCAGCTCCAGAGAGTTCTAGTTTGGAAGTTGCCAGCCTAACTGTTGCTAGCATTGCCACGGGAAAGCCTTTGGGAACTATTTTATTTTCTTTCTTATTTTAAATAAACCTTTTGGCATTCCTAAAAGTGGACTGAAGTTTATGTTGTGTGTTCTGTTGGTATAAAGCCGTGTAATAAGCGGGATAACGTATAGTACGCAGGTCCCATACTTATACAATGATTTAACTTCACGCAAAGAAATTATATTTCTATGGTACCGAGATACCATCAGAAATGCACCTTTAATTATACAAAATGTATTTATTTTGTCTCTGAGATCCTGATGCCTTCAAAGCTTTAGGAGGAGCTCCTTGTGTCCAGACGCCTCCATTAGCCTCATGCAGTAAGCTGTTGTTGGTCTCTTTACACATGTGTGTGTGGTATGTGTGAATGGATCCGGTGAAGATTCGTGAGGGGGTTGTTGACTTACCCATCATCACTACAACCTGCTCAGGCTGAACAGTCTTCTCTGAGCACTCGTAGCAGGAACGTAGATCCATTTCTCATGTTCCAGTATAAATAAACTGTAGAGCAAGAGGCAAATGCCAAACACACAACCTGAGGTGCACCTGTCGCTTTGTGCATCGAACATTTACACTAACTGACTAATACTACGTCTATGTTACACACAATCTGTGTCACAGGAGTTGGATAAAAGTGATAAGTGATTATTCATCGCTTTTATGTTTGTTAATGTTTCTTTAATCACCTCCATCCATCCATCCATTTTCTTCCCCTTAATCCATTTCTGGGTCGGGGGGGTGGCCAGAGCTGCACCCAGTACACAGAGCACCCCGCCCCTCACTGATCCTCCTGCAGGTGGTGAGTCCACAGGAGCTGAGATCTTTCAGTGGGGGCTTCAGGCAAAGTGGGGTTAAGTATCTTGCCCAAGGACACAACAACAGCAGTCATCAGTGGGAGTCGTGAAGTAGGTCTTACGGTGGGCTCGAACCCACAACCTTCAGGCTCAAAGGCCAATGCTCTACCAACTGAGCTACTGTCGCCCCCTCTTTAATCACCTGTGCAGCTGAAACTGCCACAGTAGAGAGGAGTGAGGATGAGGATGAGGAGGATGCAGCAGACAGAAGGAGGACGAGCCCATGGTGTTAGTTTGATTATGGAACTGGAGTATAAATATAAATATAAATGTATTGTTCCCGTAGGGAAATTTCTCCTCTGCATTTGACCCATCCTGATGCCACTAATGCTTACGTCAGGATCAGTGATCGCCGTGGTACAGCGCCTGGGAACCCATCTCCAGGTGTTGATGCTTGGCTTGGTCAGAACTACCGGAGCTGGAGGATTTTAGCTATTGACATTTTGAGTAGTAGGGGAAACCGGAGCACCCGCGGGAAACCTACACAGACATGGGGAGAACATGGAGCAAACTCCACTCAGAAAGGCCCTGTTCTGACTGGGATTCAAACCCAGGTACCTTCTTGCTAAGAGGCGAGAGTACAATCCTCTCAGCCACCGTGCCGGCTGAGTATTGACCTGAGGTGAGCCGCGGCGGAGGCAGGACGCACTGATCCTCCATGGGTTTGGCAGCACTCATCTGTCTCTGAGGGAGCTGTGGCTGCTTCTCTCCGGTCATGTCTGAAGTGGACAAAAATTAAGCTGTACCTTCAAAATGGCAGGAAAAAAGCTTTGAAAAGTGATATAAAATCACTGGGCTGTAATGTTTTTTGTGTTGTCTATGGAACAGCAAAGCAGTGCCCTGAACCCCCACCCCTCTGCCCACCCCTCCTCCTCTGTGAGAACTCCACATTTTGTGAGGACCAGTCTCAACATTCAGGAGCGTCTCCAGCGGTGAGTGATCACAGATATTTAGATTTTCATCTTTCACAATGTATAGATGGCATAAATAAACCTCACCTTTGTTACTTAACTAACTTACTATGTTGCTATTGCATGATAGAAATGGTTCTTTTTAAGACTATTCCTAATTGACCTGCTGTGATTAATGAAGATGTTATGGCTTACAAATACCCTCTTCCTTTATGGGTTCACAATAACGTATCTATTTACAATTCTAACGGTTGTTTGTTTTTTTAAATTTTGTTCACCAGAGTATTTTCATTTCACCATTGTCTCCAGTCAATCGTTCAGTGTTGAGGAGTTAAATATGCCCAATGCATGAGTAGAGGATGTTTCTGTTGAATTGCATGTTTTCCACAAGAGCTTATATACTTGTGTATTATTTGGTTGCACAGTATTTTTCACCATCTCAATTAATGAGATGTTTGTTCCTCAGACGCACCGTCGGTCAGCTGACACTGTCCTGCTAAAGGCCAGAGCAAATACGCCTTTGTTTTCACTGATTGCTCGCATGGGGTTGCCAGGTTTAAAAATGGTAGTTGGTTAGAATGTATCTGTATTATCACATAACAGTCTGCCTCTGTCCATGCACAAAAATCTATCCTAGTTTTCAATAGTTTTAGTTCCCGGTTAGACACGGGCTGCAAACGTGACATATGCCACAACAGAAACAAGTCAACAAGAGCCAAATTGTTTACTTTACACAATAGTTATTGGAATAAGTAGCTGAAATATTGAAAAATGCCTATGTTTTGTTGAATGACAGTTTGAACAATATTTTCAGCTGCTAATTCACTTTTAATTTGTTCACATTTTTGTTTTTTTGTCACATCTGACTTGATGAAAACCACTAATAACATTCACAAGTGATTTTGTTACAACAATAAAAGTAAACTTAAATTTGCTCTTGTGTAGAAACACCCTTCATCCACAGGTACGATGGTGGTGTCACTCAAAGGCGTCCCAGTCTGGGTCTCAGTCCTGGTCTTGGTCCTGGTTTTGGCTTTAGGACGGTCGGATCCAGTGGAGGACCACGAGGACGTGCTGGTGGAGCTGGAGCTGGACACAGACGAGGACCTGGACCTCCCTTTTTACGACTCCTTTGATTATGACGACATGGACCAGGAGGTGAGCAACAAATGTGGTGTTTAGGATTTTATTTCTTATGAAAGGGCAAAGCTATATATTGATAAAAACAGCAGGACAGAGAACAAAGAAAATAAAACTGATGTTGATCTTGTAGTGACAGCAAATCAGGGCGTCAAACTCTGTCGAATGTAAATGATAACATCTGGCCGTGGGAGGAAGTGGTTTCTCTGTGGTTTTTCTATAGCTCATCTAAAGCAACTGGCAACATGTTGTTGTTTTTTTTTAGATAAAGATTTGGAGATCCTTCGTCCTACAGTGGGGAAATTTCAGTTTTTCAGTTTACATTACATCATAAGCCAATTTGACCAAAATTATTACTTCTATTTAAAATGAGTGTGGATATTATTTCCTGGTATATTTTTCTGAATAAAACAAGTTTGGTTACTGTTTGGATTGACTCAAGAATGTGCCGAAGGTACGATAAAGACTGATAGGCCAGTGAATAAATGTAGAACAGGTTGAACATGCCAGGGTTCGTAAACCGTTTTTTTACATGTGTGTTTTCATGATTTTATAAATGTATAATTTATTAAAACAATTATTTCTATAATTTCTATGTTTTTATAAATTAACTGTGTGTTGCCATGGCGATGCCTAATGTTGTATTCAGTTAAAATAATAAAAAATCAATGGTAATTTGCTTTGAAATCCTCAATGACCATGGTGTAATGCACCGTGCAACAAATTCCACAACAACTTCTCAAAGTCTGGTTCAAGGAAGTTTGTGCAACATAAGAACTAGACTAACCTATAATTGCTCTCTCTGAAAAGCTCTTGTGATTGGTCTTTTCTGAGAACAGATTGATGCTCCCGAGGAAACTGTGGTCATGCCCAAGGAGACTCCCCAAAGCAACGCGTCTCCTGACTCCACCAGCCTGGACTTGGACCTGTTTGGTCCCGACACCGGCCTGGGTACACGAGCTCTATGTTAAAATACACCTCAACATAACAATCAATCCATATACTGTATGTATAATTCAATCCCGTTTATATTTGTAAAGCCCTAAATAGGGCAACCCTAGGGTGACAGTAGCTCAGTTGGTAGAGCATTGGCTTTTGAGCCAGAGGGTCGTGGGTTCGAGCCCGACTTTCACCATTAACTCCCACTATCTGCTGTCGTTGTGTCCTTGGCAAGACACTTAACTTCTGGGAACACCTGATGCCACAGTGGAGCGGCTGCGGCTGTAAAGTGCCAAACTGCTGTTGTGTCCTTAGGCAAAACACTTTACCCCCATTGCCTAGAATGACTCTGGTGTGGTGTGTGTGTGAATGGTTGGTGGTGGTCGGAGGGGCCGATGGCACATACTAGTTGCCTCGCTTCTGTCAGTGTGCCCCAGGGCAGCCGTGGCTACAGTAGTAGATTATCATCACCGTGTGTGGAGTGAAAGAATAATGACATGTAAAGCGTCTTTGAGTGTCCAAAAAATAACTATATAAAACCGTTGCATTATTATTATTATAAATCACCAAAGTAGTAGTCTCAGAGGACTTTACACAGTTGTCGATTCATTAACAACAGATCAGATATCAATCCACAGTTTGAACACAGGAAATGTAATTATAACAAACACATAGAAGCCATTGATCCGTAAGGAACGGTATGACTAACATGTTCTAGATCATCTTCAAGCCCTCCTCAATCGGCGAGCAAAGATTGAAAAATCGGGGGAGACCCGTCCACAGGTGCAAAAGAGAAGAGGAGAGGATAGTGCTCAAGTTACAATACTTCTCCCAGCAAAGTGTCTCCATACTTAAAGGAGAAGTATATGAAAATCTGGTCAAAAGTAGTACTGCAACCTCCCCCACTCTCCCTGACTCAGGTTGCCAGATACGCAGACGAACACAGTTGGTACAATAATATCTGAATACTTTTGTCAACAAAAAATCTATAACCAACACCTTTTTCACAAAGGCACCGATAGAAATCCTTATTTAATTCCTTGATAATGATTTGAGAATCATAACGAGACCTTTTTAGTACTGCGGCCACATGTTACATTATCAGTGAGTTTAACTCAATGCGGTGTGTTCTGGCAACCCGGATCACGGACTTTCTGATTGGTAAAACGGTGGAGAGGTTGGGACATCGAAATGAAAACAATAACAAGATTTACCTTTTGAAATTCAAATATCTCGGCTGAACTACTGTCCTCAGTTAAAGAAGTATTTGAAAAGTGCATGGTTTATTCATTTATCAGGGCCATTTAATGAAGACTTGACATGAAAATGTTTAAGGTTGCATTGCTAAGCTATCTATTGAGCCATATTCTGAATTTACTAAGAATGATCCACACAAACATAAAAATAGTGATTGATATGTTGTTTGCGTCCACAGGAATGCCCACTTGCCTGTTGTGCACTTGTCTCGGTGGGAGCGTATATTGTGACGACTCTGATCTGGAGGATGTTCCACCTCTTCCAAAAGACACCACCCACTTCTACGCACGCTTCAACAAAATCGAACACATCAAGAACACCACGTTCATGAATCTCAGTAAGCCAAGTCTACTGTAGAGATTTCCCTTAAAGATGCAATGTGTTCCACCTTGTCAAGAGTGTTTTACTGCAATAAAAAACACTCCATAGATCTGACCTGTAACTTGACCATGTGGCGCCACCTACTTGTCTATGAAATTAAATAACTTTGATGTAATACTTTGGATTGGAGAAATAAAGAACTTATCATATTATATTTTAATATCTGAAAACTTAAGTAAATGCAACATTTCCATGGTCAACAATAGTACACTGACAATCCTGGTCCAGTCAATCAATAGTTTTGTCTATACCAGGGTTGTACACTGTTCCCTGGTTTGAAATAATTCCCCTTAACATGAAATACAATAAAATTACTGACATCATTTCTAATAAAATGTAAACTGTGATTTAGGATTTTTCATGCTTATTCATGATAGGAATTCCACAATATATTTATGGAAGTATTGTTTCTGTTTTAGACATGCTGCAGTCCATAGACCTGACGGGGAACGACATCTCTGAGATTGACGAGGCGGCCTTCAGACTGTTGCCTCTTCTGCAGCAGTTGGTTTTGGCAGATAACGACGTGAAGATGTTGCCCCAACTGCCCACTACCATGCGGCTCATTGATCTACGCAACAACAGACTGAAGAGCTCTGCCATGCATCCAGGATTCCAGGTAACAGACAACACCACTAATACGCTCTGTTCTCATGACCAACATTTTTATATAAATGGTGAATGTTATGTTTCTGATCAAACCGATGACAATTGGATCAGAGGAGACTTGTTTGACACCAAATCCTGAGATAATATTTGACTGAGCACCACACAAGACTAATGCACCTGTTTAAATGTGGTGTCCATCAGGACATGAGTGGCCTGGAGTATCTGTATCTGTCTGATAATGACTTGGACTACGTTCCCACGCCGCTGCCTTTGGGCCTCCGAGTGCTGCACCTGCAGGTAAGTGCCACCTGGAACCCACAGTTCAATCCCAATACAGTAACAAGCATTTTTACTTTCTTATTCCGAACCAGAATAACAACATCCAGTCTCTCCTTGTGGACACGTTCTGCGACAGTCATGACCCCACATTCATCCGGCCGAAGCTGGAGGACATCCGCCTGGATGGGAACCCCCTGAACACCCATCTGTTTGGGGCAGCGTACTCCTGCCTGCCCCGTCTGCCGGTGGGCACACACTGACCGGTCATAATGTACCACACGGTTTCATGCGGTCTTCGGGCACATTCCTAATCCGCCCTCCAGGAACAGTACACTCAGCGGTATATTCATCTAACTTTGTGTTAAGGTCAAGGTATACTTTATTGTCCTTGTAGAGGAACTTTGTCCTCTGCATTTGAGCCTCTGTCAGGAGCAGTCCCCGCAGTGCAGCGCCCAGGACCCATCACCAGATGTTGATGCTCGTCTTGGTCAGGACTTTCCTATGGTGCATGTTTTGGTGATGGGGAAACCAGAGCTCGTACAAAACCCACCAGACACAGCACATGCAAAAAAGCATAGAACTTCTTGCTGAGTTCTAAGCACTGATCTTCAGTGTGCATCAGAAATCACTTTTGCAGACACACAAACCCTGGATAAATATACCCCTTAAAGGAATAGTTCACCGTTTTTACATACTGACAAATGTTCTTACCTTACCTTAGACTAGTTAATACGTACCTGTCTGGTCTTAGTCCGTGCGCTCTGTCATGCAAACGGAGCAAAAACGGGAGCACAACCGCAGCCTCCTCTGTATATTTTGTAGCACCAAAAGGTAGCTCCCGCTAGAAGCTACCAAACTCTTCCAAGTGTTCCCTATTAAATGTATATAGTTACGTGACGTGTTACACTGCACTTCCGGAGAGAAGTTAGTGCGCAGAGAAGTTAGGAGCGCTACGTCCGCGCACTAACTTCTCTCCGGAGACTTCTCTCTCGCTGCTACTGTGTGTATTACAAGTCACGCTGCTTCTATTGACGGAAGTGAGCGAGTGAGAAGTCTCCGGACAGAAGTTAGTGCGCGGACGTAGCGCCCCTCAGATTACTACGCCTCACAATATAGTACCCGTTTTATCCGCTGAGAAAATCGACTGTTACATTTCTGTGTTACTATACTTTGCAGTGTAACACGTCACGTAACTATATACATTTAATAGGGAACACTTGGAAGAGTTTGGTAGCTTCTAGCGGGAGCTACCTTTTGGTGCTACAAAATATACAGAGGAGGCTGCGGTTGTGCTCCCGTTTTTGCTCCGTTTGCATGACAGAGCGCACGGACTAAGACCAGACAGGTACGTATTAACTAGTCTAAGGTAAGGTAAGAACATATGTCAGTATGTAAAAACGGTGAACTATTCCTTTAAGTACTTTCCATCAGTGTCTTGTGTTTTAATGTTTTACTTGAGTGTAAACAAATAAAATACCTTTGTTTGTGAGACTTGTGTAAAGAGGTACATTTTAGCTTTAAACCAATGTTTTTCCTCAACATTGTACAAAGATTCCTCACAAAAAGTGATGCTTTCACCTTCCCCCTAACTCCGCCCACAGCACTCTACTTAGTTTCTGGATACTACAGTTTCCTGTAGGTATTTTTCTCCAATAAAAGTAATTAAAGTCTATTCGTGTCTGAACCAATAACTGACAAATAATGTATTCTGTTCTTAAAGCAATAATCTCCTTCTCAGATGCTTTTAAATAAATGTATCAACTTTGATCAAGAAAAAATTTCACAAACGTACACAGTCAGTGGTGGTAGTGAATAAAAGTCTATGTTTTTTGCAAAGTCACAGCAAAAATATTAGTTTCTATCTTCAAATACTTTCAATATATTAAAAAAATGCAATTTACATATGAGGCATTTCCAGTTCATTTTCACAATTAAAGATTTTGTCGGCGACAGTTGGACTCAGTACTCAATAGTTACTGTCTTGGTCTTCAAATATTCATTCAGTGCTTCTTTTCCTGTGGAACACACAAAGATATTACAACAATATAATTTATTTTGAACCAGTATGTTATCCAGTATGCATTTTTACAAATATGTGTGACAGCGAGTACAGGTGAAACTCTGAATATTTTCCAAAAGTCTATATTTCTCTGTAATCTTGCATTGACAAACTATAGACTAATCCCACCCAAGTGAGATGTATCAAGCCTTTGTTTGGTATAATGTTGATAATTGGCTTACAGTGAGTAAAAAATCCTGTGGACAGTAAGCCAAAAGTATCATATATATTGATATTCATTAATATCAATAATGCATGGGCTTTATATAGAGCTCTTTGGACACTCAAAGACGTTTAACATATCAGTACTCATTCACTCCATACACAGTGATCGTAAACTACTCCTGTAGCCACAGCTGCCGAGGACAGACTGACAGAAGCAAGGCAACCAGTATGTGCCATTGGCCCCTCCGACCACCACGAATCATCTCCACACATACCAACCACACAAAATTATAACAAAGGCTTAACATATGTCACTTTGCATGTAATGACTCTAAATTGGTTTCACATCCGAGTGTACAGATTTAAATACACTTTTGACCAATATAATAATAATGATAATATTAATAATATATTGTACCAATGTAGCACTTTTTTGGACATTCCAAGACTTTACAAAAACAATGTTCTAATTTTCACCTGTATATTTGTCTTCTCACATAAAGCCTGAGGCAGATTTTTTTAAATGGAAAAATGACTTCCTGCTAATCTCCAAGTATTATATCTACCAGACCGGGTTTTGACCAAACTCCACAACCAAAAAACTACAACATAATCCTGCATTGTCCCAAAGTAAAATCCTCAATATCTAATGTGTATAGTGTACTGATAATTAGATAGAGTCTGATGCATACCGAGGTCTTTGCCAAATCCAGACTGTTTGAATCCACCAAACGGAGCAGCCACGTCAGTCTTGTTGTACGTGTTGACGAACACGGTGCCGGCGTTCAGACGCTCGCTCACGTACAGAGCTTTACTGATGTCTTTGGTGAAGACTCCAGACGCCAGACCGTACTCTGTGTTGTTAGCCCTCTGCAGCACCTCATCCACCTCTCTGTGCACACATGCACAAACACACACACACACACACATACACGCACACAAACAGCCACACTCAGAATCCATGCATGAAAGTACTGTGTGTGTGTGTGTATACAGTATGTGTGTGTCTGTTTGAGTGTATTCATGCATGTTAGTGTGGTTGTGTGTGTATGTGTATGCATTCATGCATGTTAGTGTGGGAGTGTGTGTGTGTGAGGGTATGTGTGTGCGTTCATGCAAAGTTAGCGTTTAAGTGTGTCTGTGAGTATTCATGCATGTTCGTGTGTTACACGTGTTAGTGTGCGTGTGTGTGCATACATGTTAGTGTGTGTTCATACGTGTTAGTGCGCGTGTGAGTGGTCATATGTGTTAGTGTGCATGTGAGAGAGTTTGTGCGTGTGTAAAATTACCCTGTGTTGAATTTGGAAATGATCATGATTGGTCCAAACGACTCCTCTTTAGCGATGAACATTTGGTCCTGAACGTCTGTGAAGACCGTGGGCTCGAAGAAGAACCCTGAGAGTGGAGGGAATAGAATAAATCTTAATTTTCATTAAAAACATATTCAGTATTTCAGATCCGTGCTTCTTCATAAGTATATATCATAAAGTTGGAGATTTTAGATTAGCTAACACAGTGGGACAAATAAAGAACTATCTTATTGTTTATTTTTCTAGTGCTGTGTGCTCCTCTTTCCTACTCTTTTGTAACCAATGATGCAACAGTGACATTTCCCCGCTGTGGGACAAATAAAGGAACTCTTAATCTTAATATTTGGAACTATAGGTCAAGGTTTTGGCGTTTTGAAGTGTGAATGAAGCAGACATCTCACCGGGACGCTCCAGCTGCTTCCCTCCGCACAGCAGCCGGGCCCCCTCCTTCACTCCGCTCTGGCAGAACTCCACCAGTTTGTCCAGGTGAGCTTTGTGGTTCTGAGGCCCGTGGTCAGTGGCTCTGTCCAGGGGGTCGCCGATCTTCATCTTTCTCACCTCCTCCATCTGACCAAAACAAGCCAGACTGAAACATTTTGGAAACATGTCGAAAATAAATCGTTTTTTGATAGACATTTGGCATTTGAGATTATATTTGTGATTTATGTATGAAGAACATTTGACTCATTTCACTCCAACGAGACTGAATTATGAACAAAAACACCAATAATACAACTTCTGAACATTGATGACGGTACTAGAACGGTATTCAAAAAGATAGAATATTTTCTTCTTTGCATAGAAAATACATAGTTTTTTTATGTTGTGAGTAGATTTGTAGACTGTATTAAAGTATGATTTATTGGCAAAGGACCAAGTGGTAAAAATCTAAATAAAAAAACCAAAACGATTTCACTTAATTCAAACACATACACTGCATTTCTTTTAAGTTTTATTCTTTGATTGAAAATAACGGTTCCACTACACAGTAAACTGCATTTTCATCACATACCACTTTCTTGACAAACTGGTCGTGGATGGCGTCTTCCACAAAGAGCCGTCCTGCCGCAATACAGTTCTCTCCTTTATTGAAGAAGACAGAGCTCATCCCCTTCAGGAAACAGAGCAGTGATGTCATCAGCCAAACACGGTGATGTCATAATCTAAACAGCATGTATTTAAAGAGACGTCGGTACCATGCGGACGGCTTTGTCCATGTCACAGTCAGCGAATATAATGAGAGGAGACTTCCCTCCGAGCTCCAGGGAAACCTTCTTCACATTACTCACAGCACAGCTAAAGAACAACATGTTATAAAACTGTAAAAAAAATTAAAACTTTCATCACTGATTTCATGTGATTCCGACCTCTTCATGATGTGTTTTCCGATTTCTGTGGAGCCGGTGAAGCCGAGTTTCCGAATGTCAGGGTGGTCAGACATTCGCTGTCCAACCAGAGCACCTGGAATTTCATAAAATAATTAGATTCTAAAAAATATAGGTATATTGCAGGTATCTTCTGAACATACAAGTTTAGTTAGTCTGTCTATGTACAATATGTATAAAATATAATACATTGGTTTTATATAGCACTTTTTTGGACACTCAAAGACTCAAATATCATTCAGTCACTCCTCCGGCCATTCACGCAAATACCCTACTTATTTTTGCCAATGTGGGTGAAGTGTTTTGCCTAAGGACACAATGGAAGGTTGGCACTTTATTAATCAGGCCCTGTCTTGCTTAGCTTCAGAGGCCTGACGGGATTTGGAACTTTCACATGCAGGTATGGCCAATGTGTTCCTGAAAGCTGCCAGTTTTCCTTCTAGGGGTATACCTGATCCTGGGAGGATGTTTATGACGCCCTTTGGAAACCCTGCTCTGGCCGCCAGCTCTGCAAATTTGAGTGCAGTCAGAGGAGTCACCTTGAACAGAAATGTTATGTTAAATATCATTCTACCATAAAGATATAAAATGTGTGTGTGTCACCTGAGCCGGCTTGAGGACCACCGTGTTGCCAGCAGCTAAGCAGGCGGCGGTCTTCCAGGCCAGCATCATCAGAGGGTAGTTCCAGGGGATCACTATGGCACAAACACTGACCGCAGACAACAAAGAGCTCATGAGAATGAAAACAATGTGCAGGTTTTATTTGTTATCCTATTAATTTCTTTACCCAATGGGTTCTTTTCTGGTGAATGAGATGTTGCGGTTGGGCCTGGCCTGGTTGATGGGAATGGTACTACCCTGACAAACAGAATCAACATGTTAATTATGTGAGTTATTCTAAACAGACTTAGTGCTTCAGGACCACACATGCGTAACCTGCGTACCTCAATTTTGTCGCACCAACCAGCGAAGTAGCGGAACGTCTGAATAGACATGCCGATGTGAGTCTTCAGGGCCAGAGTGTAGACAGCACCAGAGTCTAAAGACTCAATGGTGGCCAGCTCCTCCTGGTGCTGCTCCATCAGATCTGCCAGTCTGTCACCACAGACACATGATGTGGTTTTAGTTCATAAAAAGCAATGCACTTTATTTAAACATCCTGAACATACATGTGACATATACAAATACATAAACATATATACATATAATGTGATAGTAGAGATTCATGTACAAATGTGTTTCATTTCCATTGCACACTTAGAAATTTTGTAACAACGCAACACAAGTGCACTCACTTGTAGATGAGGCGGCCTCTGTCTCGGGGGTTCATCTTGCCCCACTCTCCGCTCTCAAAAGCTTCTTTAGCAGCAGCTACAGCTCTGTCCACATCACTGATCTGAGCCAAGGCCACGTCACACAGGGTCTGCACACAGCACAGGCTGCTCAGCATTCAGACCACATCCACTGAAGCCCCGTGCAGTAACTTCCAGTGTTTAATAAAAACAATTTTTTACAAATCATTGGAAATTTCAGTTTGGTAACATGTAATATCTGAGCATATGTGGAAGGATTATACACACACATGTATCAACAACCTGTGGTGTAATATGTCACATGATTATAATCTCCTGCCCCCTTATTAATATGAGGGCAACAGAAGTACTTTAACTCTTTCTGAGCTCTATGTGGCCTTCCTGCTGTGCATCTGTAAATGCAACATTGTTGTTGCCTTTGTTGAATCTATAAAACATGTGTAGTGCTTGCCTTTAAATAAACAATCTGAACTGAACTGAACTAAATCACAAGAAGCCCCTTGTGAGGATATTTGAGGTAAAAGCAGCATTATTATAATAATGTTTTTATGTAGAAGCACAAACTCTCTGGATTATTACCGTGCCGGTGGTTGGATTAATGCTCTTGTATGTTTTTCCTCCTGATGCGTCCACAAACTCTCCATCTATAAACAGCTGATGAGGCATCTTCACTGTCATTTTGTTGACGTCCATCTCCACCTAAAACAATAGTTTAAAGATCTCATAAAGAACATGCTCTGAAGAAATAATCCAAATAAAAGAATACTTACATAATCCACCACCAGCTCCTCCTCGTCATCCTCACCTCGGATCTTCCTCACACACATCTGGATAAACTCCTGGAAGGTGGCGTTCATGTAGATGTCCTCATTCTGCAGCTGACAGTTACTGGACAGAAGCTTCACCTCCTCCACCAGTCTGAGGACACAAATGTAGCGACGTCTCAATGGCTGTAATAACATTGATCAAATAAAGATAGAAAACATAAAGCACTCCCACGTGTGGGGTCTGTGTGAGATGCTGAGGCTGACTTTACCTGACCACGTCCATGGAAGCCGCTCCTGACTTAAAGAAGTCGGTGGAGTCCTGCACTTGGCTCACGTTGCTGAGGATGCTCTGCCACACGACCTGAGGGCGAGGAGCGGGACACAGACACATGGTTTACTGCATGTTCTATAGCAGAGGTCACCAACCTTTCTGAATTGGAGAGCTACTTTTACAAACCAGAAATGGCAGCTATTGCAATAGAGTATTCAGTAGTTTATAAGTCTATTTCTTTATTAAACTTAAGATAGAGATGATATTTTACTTCAAGAAGTGTTGTACCATACTTGCTCCTCATTCCTACTGCTCTGTAACTTCTGACTTTCTCATAGTGGGACGAATAAAGCATCTCTTCATCTTAATCTATCCAGGTTTTTACAGTCTATGGCTCAGACTGTATGTACTACAAGTTCTACGGTCTGTGGTCCCGGGTAAAGAACCGAGCTGCAGAGATGTGAGGGACAAAGACAGAGCACTCACTCTCATCTGTTCAGCCAGAGCCTTCTCTTCCTCCGACAGCTCCACAGCAGAGGTCTTCCCTGCACTGAAATACTGTGAGGCCGGGATCATCTTCCCGTCCTCGAACTGCAGGTTCTTCACCAGGAGCTGAGCATACATGGGGTTACTAACACACTTCCTATTGGACTATAAATATATGGTAAAACTGTACTTACTGCTTTTCCGTCATTACCAAACAGCATGAGTCCTGCTTTGGTCACTACTCCAGGCTGAGTCGCCCCAGGAATCTCCAGTGTCTGGCCTTTAGCCGCGGCCCCATTTCCAACCAGAGTGGAGCCATAGAAAGTCACATTCTACGAAACAATCACCAGGTAAGTGATAAGTATATATTTCTTTGCACTAGACTCGAGTATACAGGTTAATACTTTGCTACTTTATTAAGCTAAAGAGAGACATTTTATTTAATTCTCTTTTTAAAGTATAGAGTTTTGCTATAGTTATTATTCACTTGTGTTCCTCATTCCTACTTTTCTATATCTTGTGATTGAACGATGAAATATACCCACTGTGGGACGAATACAATAAAGGATCTCTTAATCTTTATCATCATAATTACAATGTGGACCAAACAGCTGCCGTACCTCATGATGCACAATTGTGTTAGTGTTAGAACTCTGAACATTGTAAAGCGCTTTGGGTGACCTTGGTCTGTAAAATTCGCTATATAAATAAACATTACTTACTTACTAAAACAATGTAAAAACTGAAATACCTTTCCGTCCACTTCTGCCCAGGCCCCAGGGACTTTGTCGTTCCCTCTGATCCAGTTGTGGAGGGCTTCTGCTGTCTGGTTCCAGTCAATCTAAAAACATCATGTGTTTTACAATTCATTATCCTCTCGATATCTAGTTTTAAAAATCATTAACTGAGTCCTGAGTCCTGACATGTTACCTTAGAGTTGGCCTTCTTCTGGATGCACTCATAAGTCGCCCCCTCTTGTGGCTGGGTGATCCTCGGAGCTTTCCCTTCAGTAATCAGTCTCACGGCCTCCACCTACAGACACAACGCAAGAGACAAATTGAGGAGAGTAATTTTCTATGATAGTAGAAATTCATATTCATTGAGTTTTCAATTAATATTTAATGAAACGGGTCTAGAACCTACAGTGGATACAAATTGGGACCACATTGCGATATCGTCATATTGTGGAGGGCTGTTTTCACATAGTTACCTTTTAAATCAATTTGGCAACAAGATTTTCTGTGAAGAAAAATATTAAAAGAAGAGAAGGAGAGAGATTTACTGTATATCTGGTGTTTGTGTGTAGACTGTAGAGTATTTCCATAGCTTTAGCATTTGTGGTAATTCATTTAATGTTAATGGTTTTGCATTATGAAGCATTGCATATTAGGAAAATAATTATTTTATTGATAAAGGGCATCAATATTCTTTTTCGGCTTTGCTTGGATTGAACCAAAGCTGGACAGCATTATAGAGTGATTTACAGATTCATATGTACAAATGTGAATCGGACCGCATGTGGGCCCCAGACCACAGTTTGCCCAGGCCTAAATCAAGTGCTACTGAAGTGAAACAGAATCAAAAACAGTGGTAAGTTATTTTGATTCCACTGTAGTATATTGTTTGGCATGTTCTGTCAGAATGTATTCAGTGTAATAATCTCTCATAGAAAGTGTCCAGGAGTCATGGGTTGCATTTTATTCACTTTATTTATTTGTTTATTTGGATAGGACAGTGTCCATTAATGAACAACCAGAACTGTTCACTGGATTGTAGTCTCACAGTCGCACTCACAAACACACACTTATTCAACCCTTACCTATTGTTAGCCCCTGCTTATCTGAAAGAGTGTGTTATCTCCATATGCTCCTGTCAGATCAGTGAGGTCAGAAAACCAGCCCAATCTCCTCAAAACTGTTGCTGCTCTCAAACTGTGGAATAGTTCACCTGTGCATTAGAGCAGCTCACCCAAGCCCCTTTTCAAAACTTTTTTCATTTGATAATTGGTATTTGTATCTTGTTTTGTGCAGGTTTTGACATAAATAAATAACTAACTAACTAACTAACTAGCTCCTTCGTGAGAGGTTTTTATATTCAGTCAAATGACGTATTTGTGCCATGGCTTTTAACACCAACTGAGCTCTACTGTTTTACATTTTACATTCCATGTTTTATCATGTGCATGTAAAGCACTTTGGGCAGCTAGTGTTGTAAATGTGCTATACAATTGAAGCTGACATTGACAATTTATAAAAACGTACATCCTTCCAATTCTTTGTTGGATTGAAGTGGAAAAACATAATGAATTGTCAAAACGTTACAGTTCACCAACCCAGGAGCTGTCTCATAAAAGGAAGGAAAGATAGGAGGTATTTTTAGTGGATTTGGAAGCAGCGATGGGTCCTGAGCAGCAGTTCTGTCTTTTATGATATACTTCATGTTGAACAGACAGGACCACACTCACCGTGCCCTTGACGCCCTCTGGGAACAGAAACCTCTTGTAAATGGAGTTGACCGTGTCGTCCGGCTCCACGTCACACTCCCTCTGCAGCAGGATAGGCCCGGTGTCCAGGCCGTCGTCTGCCCAGAACACCGTGAAGCCCCCTTTCTTATCACCGTGGATCAAAGTCCTGTGTCACAGAGTATAAATAAAATAAAATATTTAGATTGTCCCAAAACGTTTTCACCTTTCTCTCTGACAAATGTTTTCTAAAGATGTGACCCAGAAATAACAGGCATGTGAAAACTATAGAAAATTGTTTGTATAGAGCTCAGAGTTATTGCCTGATGTGTTCACAACATTTTTTTACAAAACTCATTATTGGGACAATAAAATTAGATTAAATAAAATCAGATAAGTTACTGTATCACCTGCTGGTCCAAGGCCACAGCATCTTCAATCAAATCAGTAAAAATGCTCTACAACTGAGCCATAAAAATACTGGACAAAAAGCCAATAAGAACACACCATTGCCAGGTGTTGCAGAGACTACATTTTCTTCCATCCATCCATCCATTTTCTACCCTTTAATCCATTTCTGGGTCAGGGGGGTGGCAGTCAGAGATGCCACCCAAGTCTCATAGCATTTTCTTAGTTTTGATAATTTTATAAAATGTTGTAATAGTAAATTATTGTATAAATGTTTGCACAGTCGAGCCCCTGTTGTCTTGAGTGCTCTCATAGTTCCTCTGACACGGGGCTCCTCTAACGGGAATGTAAAAGGGCCCCCCAGGAGAACCACAATCGAACAGTCGGTCTTCTCGGTCCAGGGGGCAAAGCTCTGGAACTCTTTAAGCCCTCAGCTTAAACTGAACTCTGACTGGGCTGGTTTTAAACACAAACTCAAGCGATTTCTTAAAACAAACCAGTTGTGTGAGCATCAATGAGTTGGAGAACATCTGCCCTTGTATAATGTGAATTTTATCATGTAAAATGTGTTTTAATTGTGTTAAAAGCCCTCCTAGGGACGGACATTGCAAATTAGCCTTGGCTATAAATGTTGTAGTGTTTCACATGTTGATTGTGTACACTTGTGCCTATCAAATAAATCAATAAATAAATAAAATAAAACTATTTTTTTGAATGAAAGTATTTAAGTAAGTAATCTTTATTTATATACCGCCTTTTCACGGCACATCGGAGTCTCAAAGCGGTTTACAATTGTTATTTTTGGGCACTTGTCCTCTCACTCCGCACAGAGATGGGAGTGGGGGTGCCAGTTCAGCAGGCGCATGCCAAACCTATTGTACATATTTTTAGTGGTAGGGGAAACCGGAGTACCCGGAGGAAACCTACGCAGACACGGGGAGAACATGCAAACTCCACTCAGAAAGGCACTGGTCCAACCAGGATTCGAACCCAGGTCCTTCTTGCTGAGAGGCAAGAGTGCTATCCACTCAGCCACCGTGCTGCCTAAACTAAACTAAACTAAAAGTGGAAAATTGATTTGAGAATTTTTAAGTGAATTTAGTAAAGATCTGTCAATAGAAAAAAGATATTGCTATGCTATGATGATTGGTCCATTGCTCTAAGAGAGCCAAAATATAAAACACTCTTCCAAAAAAGAAAAACAATTGATTCAAACATTAACAAACATATTGATTTCGTGGAGCAGATCAATAACTTGTGTTGTAAAGGCCAATCCTTCAGGGAGCAGTGGCGCTGATAAACAATAACTTGTAATCTCTCATTTGTTATCATCTCATGAAACACTAGTCACAAGCTGCAGAGACAATACCATGGCACTTTTGGTGTTCCATCCTTTCTCCCGACGTACTTTCAATACTGTAAGATTGTCATCACACCGAGCAGAAGTTATTGCTCCTTTTGTCTTCTACAACTGTCCAGGTATTTAGCAAATCTGTAATGCATTTTGGTTGTCCCAAAAAACTTCTAGTAAAAGTTTGTGCAATCAGACCATAATGTCTTCCTTCATTCAATACGATTTAAATTCAATCTATTTTTGTACAGCCCAAAATCACAACAGCAGTCATTTCAGAGGACGTCGCCAACAACAGATCAGAGAATCAAACCGTTTGAAAACAGGAAATGCAGTAATAACAAACACATAGGAGCCATTGGTCCATAGGGGCGGATGACCAATGTCCAGTAAAGTTAATAAATGTCCAAGATCATCACTGTCCTTAGACCCTCCTGCATCGGCAAGGACTGGCTAAAAAAAAAAGATATGATATTTTGTGAGTTGATGCTTTGGGCTGAAAGTTGATTGGCCCAAGTGAGGGTGGTCCTCTCGTTTTAATTTTTCTGTTTAAAAACTTAGGCCAAAAAATACATAGACAATTGTTCTGTTCTAGTTTTAAATCTTTAAAAAAATATTGTCTGCTTTTCTTCCTATAAATAGCCAGACAAAAGACAAAGGTCATTATAGAATCACAATATACTGTATCTTAAAACAAGTTATTTTTAACATGTTATTTTTCATGTTTTGTGTGTTAAGAATGTCTTACCAGTTGATGGCGGAGGCTCCCCGGTGTCGAGGCAGCAGAGAGGGGTGGTAGATGATGGATCCGTGTGTGGGATGGTTGATGACTTCCATGGGGATGAACTGGGAGCAGAAGGGCAGAACGTTGAGCTCGGCGCCGGTGGCAGTGTACTGGCTCACCACCTCCGCGATGGCCTGGCCCTTCACTCTCCAGCGAGGGAACTTGAACACAGGCACACCATCCTTCTCTGCCTCCACCGCTGACGCCGCACAAGTACAGGGAATAATGAGTCCAATGTGTTTTTGTATTTGTATTTTTTTAAGGATTAGTCAATGGACATACAAACATGACACAATAATATATTAAATAATCATTGAAAAATTATTAAAGCAGCGAGCGCAAGGGGGTAAAACTAAGGTTCAAATGACAGAATTATTAAAATCAAAGATACTAACAGAAAGGATTTTTTTCACCCAAAAACAATATAGGTTTCCACGGCAACCTATACCACAAATGATTCAAACCGGTCATTTTAAGGCAATTGAGCACATGGTAATCACCCTGGCATTCCTCACTGGAAGAACAATAGCTAAAAAAGAACTAAAAACAAAAATAAAGGGGTGGACGAGGGAATGGGGAGTTAAAGGTTGAATGTAAATAGTTTTTTAAACATATAGTCTTCTCACAGTCATCAGAAGGTTGGTGTATTTTGATGTTGTTGTTTCAGTCCACTCTGCTTGTTTTGGCCTGTACTGTGCTAAAGTGATACATATTTATAGCCTTTTGTTCTGCGAGTCTCAACTGTATATTCAAACATTCATCACATGTTTACAGAAGAATATTTGAGCAGAGTTCAGAGTAACAGCTTCAGTTCTAAAGGTCAGTCGTGCTTGCTCACCCAGGGGGTCCGCTTTGCCATCATTATCAGGAATAGTGAAGACCCCCACGATGGTGTGGCCTTCTCTCCTCAGCTCCTTGTATACTTCCTGCCCAAACAGGCTCTGGCCGATCACTGCAATCTTCATCACCGCGGCTCGAGATTCTATTGAACAGAATTTCTCTCAGCAATGATGTACAGCTCCTCTATGGGGCCTTTGCCAAACACTGCCATTTGAGAGTAATCGATTACTTAGAATCTATAAGGTGTAAAAGGAATACAGCTGTAATCAAGACAAAATTATACATCTAATAATACACATTAATTGTCTTTTGAATAATTTGGGGAAAGAGGGATGCGCATTTATTTCTATTCGATCTTGGGGCCCCTCTGGTCGCTTTGGGGCCCAACATGACTGCTATGTTTGGTTATGAAGTTCATGGAAATTTGATTACCTAATTGATTACTATAGAGAGCATAGTAATAAATTAAACTTATCATAGTAAACAATTTCACTGGTCAGTAGTACGGCAGTGCATCTGCTCCTTAGATAATGAACATACATAGGAATGTTCTATACATTGAAATAGCCTTATTCTTTAGATGCAGGAACCTGGACCCTTTCCAGGAGTGGATTCTGGAGCTGCTACCGGATGGAGCCAGTTTAGTCCAAAGGGCAAAGCACTTGTTTTGTTTCTTCTTGTTACAGAATGAGCCAGTGTGGACCGCTTCTTACAAGAGATGAATCAATAAACAACTGTTTCTTAACAAGTAAAGTGACATTGTGTAACACTTGGTCCACAAACCCACTGACATACAGTACACATCTTATACACAACATGTACAGTGCCTTGCAAAAGTATTTGGCCCCCTTGAACCTTTCAACATTTCGCCACATTTCAGGCTTCAAACATAAAGATATAACATTTTAATTTTTTGTCATGAATCAACAACAAGTGGGACACAATCGTGGAGTGGAACAAAATTTATTGGATAATTTAAACTTTTTTAACAAATAAAAAACTGAAAAGTGGGGCGTGCAATATTATTCGGCCCCTTTACTTTCATTGCAGCAAACTCAGTCCAGAAGTTCAGTGAGGATCTTTGAAAGATCCAATGTTGTCCTAAATGACTGATGATGATAAATAGAATGCACCTGTGTGTAATCAAGTCTCCGTATAAATGCACCTGCTCTTTGATAGTCTCAGGGTTCTGTTTAAAGCGCAGAGAGAACCATGAAGACAAAGGAACACACCAGGCAGGTCCGAGATACTGTTGTGGAGAAGTTTAAAGCCGGATTTGGATACAAAAAGATTTCCCAAGGTTTAAACATCTCAAGGAGCACTGTGCAAGCAATTATATTGAAATGGAAGGAGTATCAGACCACTGCAAATCTACCAAGACCCGGCCGTCCCTCCAAACTTTCATCTCAAACAAGGAGAAGACTGATCAGAGATGCAGTCAAGAGGCCCATGATCACCCTGAGACTATCAAAGAGCCGGTGCATTTATACGGAGACTTGATTACACACAGGTGCATTCTATTTATCATCATCAGTCATTTAGGACAACATTGGATCATTCAAAGATCCTCACTGAACTTCTAGAGTGAGTTTGCTGCACTGAAAGTAAAGGGGCCGAATAATATACATAGTTCCCACATGACGTCACTACATACGGGGATTTGCCGACCCGGCGCCATTTGTCTTGGCATTCTGTGGGCAAAACAATAGAAAAAGAAGCTGAAACGTGTTAATGTCGTGATAAAGTTGAAAATGGTCATCTCCTGCTGGGTCAATGGATGTTCAAATCGTGCCGGAGGTTCCGTTAAACTTGGATTTTACAGTATACCCATCATTAGACTTCATGAATGTGAGAAGACTAAGCTTTTGTCAGAACAACCACGGAGGTTATGGCTTGCGAAGATAAACAGGCAAGAAACTCCCTCAAAACACGCAAGAATATGCTCGGAGCACTTTGTGTCAGGTGCGTATCGTATCTCATAATGTGTTGACAGACGTAATTTACTCAGTACTAACTTGTGTATGCTGATAGCTGGTAACTTGAGAGTTTCATTATTTAGATTACTTTATTATGAGGAGGATCGGTGTCGCGGCTCTCGAGGGCAACGTAAATGTATTAAATAGATAATAATAGTTCTATGGTGGGCTAAAACAATGTTCACAAACAGCATTGCTTCTGTAAAAAGATCTGTGTCATAAAATAAACTGCTCTTTACGCCTGGAAAAATCAGTTGCCCACCATTCACCAAAACATACGGTCAAAAACGCGGAAATAAACAATAACAGCAATCCAGAGTGTCCGTGTGGCATTAGCATTAATTAAATTAATTGTTAATATAATTAAAATAATTAAATGGAGCTCCAACTGGTATTAAATCTAAAGTTTTTGAGAAATGTTTGCATTGCTTGTTAATTTTTGCTGCATAATTTGATCAAATATGTAAAACATGTCCGTAGCACGTTAAACTGTGGTGCCATTGTATTAATATACAATTATTTGCTCAAAAGTTGCCCTTTTTTTCCAATTTGCGTTTGAATATCTACATTTATTCTCATTCTTCTGTTTAATGGAATGCACAAACACAGCAGCGTGCCATCAAAGATGGCGTCTCCGAGGAGGTCATGTGACATTCATTGGTCTGTGGGAACTATGTATTGCACGCCCCACTTTTCAGTTTTTTATTTGTTAAAAAAGTTTAAATTATCCAATAAATTTCGTTCCACTTCACGATTGTGTCCCACTTGTTGATTCATGACAAATTAAAATTTTATCTTTATGTTTGAAGCCTGAAATGTTGAAAGGTTCAAGGGGGCCGAATACTTTCGCAAGGCACTGTACATATATTTATATGTTGGTGTATCAAGTTCCAGCTAGTTTTAAGATCCCAACACCGTTATTGTTATGTACCAGGTATTTTGAGCTGACCATTCTTCTACAGACGTCCTGACAATTAAAAGTTCAGAGTTGTTTAGTGAAATTCAAAATGATGAATAATTCTACTATATTCCCTACATGTCTTAGTTCGCAGAGACCAAACAAGTGGTGCTTACCCTGGCTGCAGACCCCTGGCCCAGTGCAGTGGAAAAGAGATCAGGCTGCTCCCTGCTCCCACTTGTTAATTTTGCCCCACTGCTCCATGAACTGTTACATAACACAAGAAACGTGATGTGATTGGACCAAAGAGTGTATGAGGAGCAGCAGAAGCAGCCAATAGGGAGCCCACTGTTGAATCAACAGCTCACACATCCCCCTTGTTACACGGCTTCATTTAGTGATAATAAAACCACAGATTTTCTTGTCTGATGTTTGTTGCACGGATCAGTTAGATAACAGTTCAACAGTGTTATGATCTTAGGGTTTTTTTTTATCCATATGATATGCTTTAATATTTAATGAATATGTACTAATGAAAGATTGAACACAAAGGAACACAGAGCCATGTTGGATTTTTACCAAATTCCTAAAAAAAAAGAAACTTTATTCCATTTCATAGACTTCCATGAGAAAGCAGAAAGGCCGAGAAACATGCAGTTGGAAATAAATAAAATGTACATTATTACGTATGTATATTTTAATTAAATATATAAAAAAATATATAAAACAATAACACATAAGGCTGCTTTAATAAGTGGCTGAGCTTCAGGCATCGCACGGAATCCAAATATGGATTATTTTGATTGTTACATCTTTAATGTCACTTCCCCACTGTCCCCTCCAACTGCTGACAAACAATTTCGTTTTTTCTTCAATAATGACACTCCATTCAAGGCCCAATATGCCCCAGGTATTTGTCTTGATGTAAACAAGGTCTTACATATTGTGCAGAGGTACAAAGGTGAATTCCAATGATAAAAATCTACTACAAGGTGCATTTTGGTGACGACCTGATGCACTGCGGATCAGTGTCCAGGGGCCTCACACATGTGGGACAGAGCAGGTCACTCCAGGTCCTGGAGGTTTATGGTGCTTCCTGTGAACTGGGAGCTCTCTGAGTTATTCTCCTCCTCCGTCATCCCTGACGGCTCCTGTCCAGACACAACAGAGTGAGTGAAACCTAAAACTACACTGTCATTCTGTTTAACAGTACAGCACCTGTAAAATGTTGACCGGCAAATCCACAGTGAGCTGAGCATGAGAACTAGACGGCTGAGAAGTCAGCTGGAACGCAAGGTCTCCATCCGACGCTGGATCATCCTGAAGGGAAACAGGCAAACATTATTAGAACCAATTTAATCAAATCTAAGATTTTTTTTTTCAAATGGTCACTATCCAAATGATTAACATCATGGACACAATAGTTCAACAATAACTCCTCCATGAACAGAAACAGAAGGAGACACACCTGCAGCAGCTGAATGTGCACATACTGAGCGTCCCGCAGACTCAGGGCCCTGGAGCCCGTGCTTTCACTGAACGCAGCTGCAGACAGAGGCCCTGCAGCTGCTTTCACGAGCTTAGCTCTTTTCACTGTCGACAACAAAAAACAAGCAACCATTTAATATTTGATTATGCACAATGTTTTCATCACTGTTCATAACTGTTTTTGAATTAAACCATTCAAGGTTGCAGGTCACCTGAGGCGGGTCCGCTCTGTTTTCTCTTCTTTGCCAACTGAATGGCTCTGTAGTCGGTCCGCGCTGATCCGCCAGTTTCCTAGTTGGAAAAACATCAGACATGTTTACACACTTCCAACTTTTATAAAAGTTACTGAATATTTAACTTCCTTGGATTTTTTTTTTTTTTTTAAATCAGACAAATTTCAGGATAAAAGAAGTAATTAACTGAAGTGACCATAGACACATGAAGGCAATTACATCATTATACAATTAGACTGACATCACTGTATGTCACTGTTCACACAGTCCTATGAATGCCTTTGTAATCCAATGTCACATTGTTTCTCTCACCAAGAAGCCGCTGGGTGATGCATTGGGGCGCTCGCAGTCCTTCTGTGGGCTAAAGCTGCTTCCAGGTCCAGGGAACACAAACTGTGTGAGCACCTTCTCCCCCTCCTGAGTCTCCATCACCTCCACACAGCTCAGCAAAGGGCCCTGACCAGAGCCACAGCCCTCTGCACCTTTAGGGGGAGAGGCCAGAAGCTCCACCACTGGAGCAGTGGCCTCCACACTGAGGGAGTCCGCCGACACTACAGTCCCTTGCATACTTAGGTTACCCAAGGAGCCCAGGGCCTCCGGAGTCACGCTCTGCACATCGTCCAGGTTTAGTGTCCCTTGTGGGGGCAGCACTTCTTCCACAGACCTCTCCAGGACCTCATGAGAGCCCACCTCTACTCCAGCTGACAGCAACAGAGGATCTACAGCTTTGGCCAGGGTTGTGGGGGTCCCACTGCTCAGGTTAGAGCCCACTGAAGAAGGGTCGATTGTAAGAATCCCTGGATTGACCATTGACAGGTCCATGGTGAACATCCCAGATGAAGATGTGCCGCTCACAGGTATTCCAACGTTGTGCACGGTACCGGCTGATACTTCAGACAACAGAGAGCTCAAGTCCAGATTAGTCAGCTGATCTACCACCGAGCCGCCCGCAGGAACCAGAGCAGGAGACGGGCTGACCAACTCACTGCTGGGAGTCAGAGCCGGAGTCATCTCCATCTGACTTAGCATATCTGAAAAACACGAGTACCACATTCAACAAGAATTCTGGTGTTTTCAGTCACAGAATCACAACACTCACTACTGACCAGGACTGATGTGGTGGCTCTTTAGCATGTGGCTCTTGAGGCTGCTGCGGGATGAGAAGTGCTTGGTGCAGTCCGCCACTGGACAGCGGTTGCGCAGACTGCTGGCATCCTGTTTGTGCTTCTTTGAGTGAATGTAAAGGCTACTGCGAGCTGAGAACCTGGCTGTACAACCTACCGAGCCAGAACAAGTCGTCAGATGTTTACATTGTATTTTGACTGCATGTTGCGACTTTACCTTCTGCGTGACATTGGAAAGGCTTTGTGCCCAGGTGGGTGATGCTGTGACCCTTCAGGTGCTCAGCCCGAGTGAAGGACTTACCACAGCCCTCCTCCGTACAAACGAAGCGACGGTCATCGTCATGTTTTCTGATTCAGAGTTGCACAGAAACAATAAAGTCAGTCGGCCGCAACATTATTCCAGTTAGTAGATATTTTGAGGGCTGTAATTGATTGTCATGAAATGTATCTTTTGTGCAAACACAGACTAAAGCCCTATTCGGACGGGATTAGTATTACCTGTGGACCTCTGATAATTTGTGATAATCGCAGAGGACGTAATTTTCACTGACATCTGACAAAACGGCTGCAGGTGCGCTGGTCTCTCTGCTTCACGCAGTTCATAAAGTCTGACATTTGACCACAGCAGCCGCAGAGACCATGAGGACAAACACATGTGGATTTTACTGCTCTGCAGTTCTCTAACCCTGTACTTTTTGTAAGGACTAGCTGTGAACGCCTCAAATACTCTGCTGACATACGTGCGAGCCGACAAACTGTTGCAGCAACACGTCTGTGCAGAGACGCAGAATAAACATACGAACGCAACCCATCAGTCTGACTATGTTGTGTCAGTGAACACATTACACTGTCCTCTACACTTCTCCATAAACCTCAAAGGGACAGCAGCAGCAGCGACTCCGCGGGTGTTCACGGTCGCAATACTCGACTCCTCTGCTCATTGATAAAAACTACGCAGAAAGTTAAGCAAAAGTGGCAATAGCGATCACAATCACTGACATGCAGATTCGCACGGGATAAGTATTATCAGAGGACGTCTGTGTTTGGTCAAATACAAGAGGTAATTTGCAGCGGAATTATTACTTTACAAATTACAGACATGGCGCATTCGCACGGGACTGAGATCTCAGACGTCCTCTGTGATTATCACAAATTACCAGAGGTAATACTAATCCCGTCCGAATAGGGCTTAAAGAACATAAATCCAGGAACATTTGCATGTTTTATTTATGTGTGCAATTTTAAGCAGCTGTCCAGTTATGATTTATTATTATGTATTCGTTTATTTGGCAAAACATTTTTTGCAATAATGAACATTTCACTTTTTCACTTTTTCTGTACAGGGCTTAAGTAAGCCTAAGCTGTTTTTAAATGTAATTTATAAAAGAACTATTGATAGATATTGATGATTAATTATAGATAATTTGAGCATCTTAAAACTCATGTAAGAGATTAAAATTACAGTGTCAGTCTATTGTAAGAGTGATATAATTATTGACAAGGAGTGCACCAAGAATATGATGATCAAAGGGCGTAGGAGGAAGTTTAAAACGTATTGTATTCATCAATGAAGCAGGGGCCAGGACAGAGTGGCAGACACAATGAGAGGAGCAGAATATTTTCTCTGGACATTGAACATCCAGTACACAAAACCAACCCACATAATCATCTTTGTAGCGTGAGCCAGTCTTAACCCTCTAGGCGCCACGGTTGACTTAAGTCGACAAGCTGCGGTACTGTTTAAAACGGCCGAGTGTGACCAACTGAGTGTCAAAATTCATTCATACTCCCTGCCACTAGTTGGCAGACATGTCAGACTACCTCCCTGGCCCCAAAAAACGACATGCTCCCATACAAAATATTCGAGCAAGACCGCGTTGAATCAGAGCGGAAAACACTGCAAAGCGAGTGCAGCTGCGAGGGCAGCCTGCGAGTGTTATAGCGCACCAAACACTAACTTTAGACACTTTGCACAGGGTCTGCAGTGAGAACAGTGTTTCTTAGAGTAAGGCCAAGTCATTGGGAGGTTGGGAGACAGGTTAGATTTGCGGAAAACAAGCCTGGAACTCGGGTCGGGGCGCCGCGCCGCGACCTCCCGCCTCCGCTGAAGTCTCCGCTAAACTCTCCGCTAAAAGTGCTTCCCACATATTTATTTTCATGCCTCCCGTAATCACCGGGACAGTAACGTGTTGGAGAAGCCTTGTCTTGTGTGTGTCAGACGAGAGAGAGATCAGGGGAAACGATAGAGAGAGCAGGGGAGACAGTAGCAGCCGCAGCAGGAGGGTCGCGGTGACGCGCTTCTCCTGGAGGCGCGCGTCTGGGCTGACTGCTCACAGCAGCACCATGATTTGTATTTTTTACTATTTCCATGAACATTTACAATGTTACAGTATGTGCTCTGTGTGTGTTCATGTATTAGTGATCAATATATATCTGTCAGTTAGAAAAATACAAATATTGTATGAAAATTCTAAAATCCACTATTTCTAACGCCAAATGACGTCATAATATGCAAATTAGATGGGTGGATTTATTCTCTACATAAACTTTGGACTATCCTTAATATTTTTCTAATTTACAGAAAGCCTTTATCTCTTATCACTTGTAAGTTACAGCCTTTTGAAATTAAGATGTCAAAATCGAGCGTTTTGGAAAAAAACCTCTGGCGCTTAAAGGGTTAACAGGGAGAATGCAGCACAGGATGGATGAATTCCTTACCGTCTGTGTCTGAGCAGTTTGGACATGCTCGTGAAGGACCAGCCACAGCCTTCAGCGTCGCACACAAATGGCCGTTCACCTGCAAATACAATAAAATGAATCAAAATCATGTTCAAAAGTGTCTAAACAAATAAAAAGAGTTCAACATTGAAGAGCGCATTGAAAGGGTTCGGGTTGGGGTGCTATGGAGAAAGAAAGATTAAGACTGACTGGAGAATGAAGTTTAAGTAGAACTGTGCTTTAAAAAAAGATCACTATCTCAACTTTGGTGGATCAAATTGACACACAAGAAACAGAGCGAGAGTTTTGGAAAAAGAAACAGGAGTTTTTACCTCTACTCACACACTTACTGAGTGTAAAGGTTTAGCAATCAAAAAACATCAGCTATTTTGTTTGATTTTAAAAATAAATAAAACAAAATGTCAAGAATATGTCAAAATAAAAGTTGTTCTGTGTGTATCACCTCTAATGTCACAAAAGACACCTGTTGGGAGCAGTAGTCGCAGCAGTCGTGTCATTAATGGTGACGTGAGTCCTGAGTTGTCCAGAGTTGTATACTAGACTGAAGGTGAGCCACAGAGCAGGGTGGTCATGTGCAGATCTGTCTGGCTTCACTTTTGTGTGATGTTTCGTACCAGTGTGACTCCGGAGGTGGATCTTCAGGCGGCAGGCCTTGTCATAAGTTTTATCACAACCAGGGAAAGTGCAGGAGAAGTGACCCGACTCTCTGAAGTGTGTCCGATTATGGGAGAACAGGGCACTGAAGGTCATGAAGGTCTTTTCACAACCTGATCACATAGAAATGTATTTTAACAACTGTTAACTTTTTTAGATTAGATGAAAACGAAGTATAGTCTAACCCTAAAGGGTTAAGACTGACAATAATTGATACATTACCTGGAAAATCACATTTGTGAGGCCTCTGGGGTTCAAAGTGAACTCTCTGGTGACTGGCAAGCCGATTGGCACTGCGGAACCTCTCACTGCAGATATCACACGCAAAGGCATCGTCCTGTTTGTGGTTTTTAATATGTGCTTTGAGGTTATAAACAGTAGTAAAGCGTCTGTCACATCCCTCCACTGTGCACTCAAAGGGCCGCTGTTTGTCATGGGACTGAAGATGCCGCTTTAATTTATAGGAGGTAGCAAAAGCCCAACCACAGCCCTCCACAGGGCATTGAAACGGTCTTGGATCGTCAGCATGGTTTAACTGATGAACTTTGAGCTTTTGTCTCGTCAGAAATGAGATGGTGCACCCAGGTTCAGGACATGTAAAAAGGGAAATGGAGTCTTTCCTTGATTTAATTGGGCTGTGTGCCTCTTCACTTTCAGCAACTACTTTGGGAGATGCGGTGACTAGGTCAGCCTCGGTTAACGTGTATATGGATGAACCATCATCCAGAGGCTGTTCTGAGTCCTTAACTTCACTGGAGCTGGGGAGAGCCTGGGTACTTATCTTACCAATGCTCTTTGCACCTCCATCATAATTAAGAAGAACATAATCTTCATAGTCCTTCATGCCAAGATGGTCTTTGATTGTGACCATGTCCTCTTCCTTGTGGACATATCCCCCCGGAGGAGGGGTGAAGGCCAGGAAGCCATTGTCAATAGTTACAATTATATTTTGGTTGTTGATCATAATGGTCCCAGAAAATGTTTCATTGCTTGGGGTAATATCCGAGTTCATGGTAAGTTGGTTGGCACTGATCTGTTCCCCATCAGCATTCATGTCAGAGCTGTCAAATGTTTCTATCAAATCTGAACCCACTGAAACGAAGGCACTGCTGTCGTCCAAGTCCTCTATGGGCACTTTGCAATTATGTAAACTATCAGCACAGTTCTGAGTGAAAATGGCCTCTTCCGTCAGTTTCTGTTCCTCAGTCCGTTTACTATTAAAGCTGTCATCTGGTAAACACAAACTATGGTCGTTCATCACCAAGGCGTCAGTTTTAAGAGCACTCAGGTTCTCGTTGGCCTCAAACATAAGGCCTTCTTCAATCTGCAGAAAGCAGTTCTCAGTCGCGCTGTCGGGCTCTCTGGTCGTGGACAGCGCCTCCAGGTCCGCGTGGCTCTTGTCGCCGTTCGGGGCCACAGTCAGGACCACGTACAGGCGCTGGAGGTCCGCCGCACCGCGCTCCTCTGCAGGCGGGCTGTTCAGAGCAGAGACCGGGGGCTCGTCCAGTGTCATGGCGGGGCTCGGCGCTTCCTGCCCCGGGGTCCTGTGCCCGCTCCCGGCCTCAGTGCTCCAGTCCGTGTGGGTGTTCGGGTCTGGAGAGGACTGAGCATGTTTCCTGGAGCCGGAGCCTGTGTTCCTCCTAATAGAGTGTGTGAGAGCAGGCGAAGGCGGGCTGCCATGTTTTCTCTGCGGCCCACTGTTATTGTTGTTGTCACTTTGGGGCTGGCGCAGTCCGTCCACTTCACATTTTGAAGAGATAAAAGCGGTGTTCGGAGCAGAAGACTTCGGAAGCGTTGACAAAGTGGGTCCACACAGGGCGCCATGTTGAGAATGATTGTTTTGGGCTTCAGAGAGCCCCTGGATTTCCATCTTGGTGTCCCTGTAGCAGCAGCAGCATAAGGCCCGCCCTCCGCGCACAAGTCTGCCCCCTACTGGAGGAGGGCCGCACTGAACAGATCCCAAAGATGGCTTAATTTTCTGGAAAAAAATAGTGTGCCAATAATAACTTTTAGTATTTTTATATTTTTTTTCATTCTAAATGATCAGTTACAGGTTTGACGGGACGAAAAGTATCTATTATCTTAGCCATGCATGAAAATTCAAAGATTTAGATTCAAAATGTTTTGTTTCATGTTGTGTCTTTCACTGCCAGTACGAAACACACACAACAGTATAATGTTGTTTAAGTGATCTAAAGCCATTGCGTATGTCCATCAGTTACTCAACAACAAATCCTTTTTATTTTAATTATGTTGTCTATTATCTTAAATAATAGACTATTTGATGTGTGCAATCGGAGTGCTCTTATTTCTTTCTTTCTCTGCTGTAATGAGTGCAACAATAACTCTGACACTGGTAATTTCTTGGCAGAACAAATAAAAAATATTTGCGTTTGTGATAAGAAAAACACAGAAGCTTTACTTTACACTCATGTAGGGGTAATTTAAAAGTTTTATTTTGATCAATGCCCATCCAATAAACTTCTAAAATGTACCTATACAGTCTGGTCTGGAAAAAGCTTGGCACAAAAACTGTTTGAAAGGCACAAACGTTCCTGAGGTAAGTTATGAACCATCGGTCAAACTAAAACATAACTCCAGAAAAAGTTTGTCAGAGGCAAAAAGAGTATTCACCATTTTATATTGAGACCCAGACGCAGTGCACATTTCTGTTGAAAAGTGAAAAAAGTCCAAGTGCAAACAAATTTGCTGAGGAAAAATGTGCACTTCATAAGACTGAGAAAGTAAAACCTAAGCCACAGATTATCCCCATCCTCTCGTCAGGAGACAATCATGGTGCACTGAACACAAACACATCTGTGTGGATTTTGTCCAACGCAATAACAGTAATTTACAACCACAGACCATGCCATTTACTATAACTTTACAAGAATCAAGTTAAGTCACATCCAACAGTAAAAGTTTGAAAATAAAAATTAAAAAGGGTTTGTTTCAAAGGCAGAAACCAGCCTTCATGCAAAGCTAGTGTCATAAAATATCTTACAGTGACATTTATTGCTTAAGTGCTTACATGACCGACAACCCACGTTCCTCAGTTGATCTTCGAGGAGAGTTAATCCGTAATAAATGACCAATTAGTATACAATCTATCCCTTTGGCCAACACATCCCTTTAAAATTCCAGATAAGATTTAAACAGAAAAAAACAAACTAAAACAAAACTCCATCCAAACTTGAATTGAAGGCTTTGTCTTTGTAGCAAACAGAGCAGTGGTAGACATGGCTTAGCCTGTTTGACAGGAGTAACAGAAGGCAGGAATATTGGAGATTTCAGACAATAGCATTATGTCCGCGGAGGCCAACTCCACGAGCAAACTGCTCCAGCAGGCCTGAGATGGCAGCTGAAGGACTAGGAGTGGAAGACTTGAGACCAACTGTGGAGCTGTACGCCGCCAAGAAGATCTCTCGCACAGATTCAAGCCGGGTCTGTCGCTCAGAAGGCAAAGGACACCTGCAGACACAGTGCATGGGACAATAATGAGTACACTGATAGTATTCATGTTTTATTCTATTAAGAATAACCTCACATGCGCCCACTGGGTCCGTCTTCCTGAAAACTGAAGGGCAGAGGAGAGTCGTAAGTAGGAGGAACCAGAGAGGATCCGGAGGAGGGCATGGGAACAGGAAAGTGCGCGTGATCGTGAATGCTGCCGCAGCCGGACACGATCTGCCAGCTCCCGTACTCTGTAGACACTGATGATGCAGAGCGAGCATTGTCCAGAATCAACCTAAAATAGAGAAACGCCATTAAATCATGAGTCAATATCCAATACTCAGTTTATTTTGCCTCAGAGCGGATATGGACTAATAGTTCTTTTTACACCATTGTAATTGATAGTTTAAATCCTATAGTCTACATATTTTACCAGTTTCCCCAGACATAAGCCTGACATTTACATGTCCTATACTGCCCTTTCTGATTATCATGTTAACCATGATTACCATTCACTCATGCAGCGCACATTCACACCTATTGTTCATGCACCTATTGTATCAGCAACAGCCCAGGACATTCTTGCTGTGAGGCACAAGCTCTAACCACTGCGCTACACTTGTCACAGTGAATAATAATGGGAGAATTTTTTTCTATAGCTGAGGAGAACCTTGTTAAAAAAAAACCTAAAATGAAATAAACAGATACAGTTTCTCCTATCTTAAAAAAGAAACAGAAAGTGTGTCTGAATTCCTTGAAGAAAAATCATACCTTCTTCCAGGAACAGCGAGCGGACTGCTGCCGGTATGCGTGGGCCCGTGGTCGGACTGGTTGGAGGAGGAGGAGCTGGAGGACCTGCCTTCACTCAGAGGATGAGGTGCGTTCTCCTCCAGTCTGGTCCACATAGGCGCAGGCACAGAGGGCGACGGGCCTTTCCTCCTGCGCCACAAACACAAGTACAACTGGTGTGGATGTCACGCTCGTTAGGCTCAGGGATACATGAGATTATGTACGTCATAATGTAAGTGTAAGAACAAAAAATAAATTGTGAAAAGCCATGTCTGATTTTCAAGTTTTTGCATCAACACGCTGTAACTCGCATTCATTTGGATTTCATGAAGTTAGTCACATAAAAATACAACTAAAGTACTTGCTGGGATATATGCCACTACTTTTTTCACATGTTGTGAACAATAGGCCAAAATATGTTTGGTACTGTCTCCTAATTATACAAAATTGTTACCTCAATAAATTAATCATGTAATAACCTTTACAAAAACAATATTGGACGTATGCTAATCACAAAAGGCTAGTATTTCCCATCCACAACACATTTTGATAGGCCTTATGTACAAGATTAAAAGTGAGTTCATACCATTGACAAGTGTTTCTCAAACTGTGGGACGAGTCCACTGATGGTATTTGAACTGTAGAGGAATCCACGTACCTGCAGAATGAACACAATTATTGATATGACTAGATGTAGTCGTGGGAGGCGAGTCCCAGTCACCAAACTAAGCCCTGAGGAAGCTACTCGGTTGGTAGCAAAACGTCCAGCTGTAACTCGTTTTAAACTTTTAATATCATTTGCCTGGCTGAAATATCTTAAAAACTTTACTGTTTTAGTATAGTGTTGCTCATAAGGTAAAATATTTGACTGGATGTGAAAAGACTATACTTGCATAAAAGAAAGATCAAAGTACAGTTTTCCTCTAGTAGTGGAGGAATTACCCGGAGATCAAGATCATTTAGCAGCAAATACTTTAGGTCACATGGAGTAAATTCAGTATATAATCAGATCCATCTGAAACATATGCTGTGTATGGCCCATAATGTTTCTGATAAAGCTTAAAATAATGATAATAATAATAAATAGGCCTCATGCTGGTACAGACCAGGTGGCAGTAGTGGGTTGGTTCATGAAGAGGTCTGTGGTGTCACTGTTGACGCTGGACGGACCTCCGAGCTCCTCCGTGATGAGGGAGAACTCACTGCTCAGGCTGGTCACACTGCCACGGTCTCGCGACTCTGCAACAAGCAACATCTCCTTAGGCCGAATTTACATTTCTACTCATTTTTTAAAGTGCTTTAAATGTATTTAATTGCTGTGTAAAGTAATAAATTAAAGCAGAAGTCCATGTGTGTTCCAGCAGTTTACTAGTTAAGCATCGTTACCAGTTAAACTGATGGGATGACATTATGGAGCCCATTGTCTTTTATAAAATGTTACATTGGGTCAGAATTTAGGGTCCATTTGATTGATTGAATAATCGACAACTTTGTAAAGTCCTCCGAGACAACTACTGTTGTGATTTGGATTTTTAAAAACTGTTCCTCACTTACTTAATTGACAAAGGTCGTCCACCGTGAAGTCATTGTCTTTGAACTGTGAGTTCTTCCTTCTGAAAACATACAGAATAAAGTAATAACAGGATTTTAACAAAAACACGTTGTTCAAAAATGAATGACTGAACGAGTCAGTGGAAAAATATGTATCACGTTTGCACGAGGTCACTTCTACAGCCAGTTATTACTGAATAGTTTTTAGGGTTAATCTTGATTTAGAGCCAGTAGGATCTCTTGAAATATATCTAATGACCACAAGTTCTGTCTCAAGTGTTATTCATATATTGAACACATATTGAAATGTACAAAACGATAAAAAGGACACACCTCTGTCTCTTTACAGCAGAGAACCTTTCTGAGACAATGTGCTTCAAAAAATTGAAGCAGAAAAAAAATATCTATAAAAAAGAAAATTGAAGCATTAAATCAATGATAAAAACAAATGTTTAGCTGGAAGAAGTACAGACCTCTTCTCCTTTGGAGAGTCTATCAGGCAGCATGTGACTGAAATTAAACAACATAAATATGATTATTTCTTGTTCCAGCAAAAACACAGAATAATGTGTGGAATATGACAATAAAGAATGTTGTTTGCATCTCTTATCTTCTTCTAAAAAAAAATGAATCTAATCTATGAAGACAAGAAAAACTTGACCCACAAACCCAATATGATGGATTGTTTTTTTTCTTGTTAGCGAACAATAGAAGACACTATTAAACGCTTAAGTATAAATAATTTTTTTTACCCAAACAGAAACCAATCATATGCGATGGTCAAGTACAGAATCTCTGCTGGCTCCAGGTTAGCGTGCACAATCCCGTCCTGAAGGAAAAAACATTTCAAACATCATTGTCTACATTGTACACGTCACATCCATAGACACTCACAAGTTTATGTCTTAAAAAGTCTTAGCTTAACACTGTTCTTTATGTGATCCTAGTATTCTCTTTGGTCAGGTCATATCTGCATATCTGAATTTGGCTTTGGTGAATGGTAAATGAGTGGCACAAGTGGGAACAGACCACTCCCTCTCTCGATTAGTATTCTTCTGGAAATGCTACGGGTGATGTTCGCACTCAGTTGGTCCAATCCTTTTTACGACCTATTGTCACATAGTCATAATGTCATTCGGGAACTTACAGCCCACAGAGAAACTCTGAGAAGTGAGATAAACAGAGGCGTCCTGTCCCACCCGGATATGCAGTGCACCAGCAGCCCGCTCTCATCTGAAGCAAGAAGTGGCTTGTTTGGAAACATGTATACTGTACATAAACATAAATATATGGCACGGTAAGTACTGTTTACCTACCATCACTGTTGATGATATGAAGAAGCAGCTTTAGGTAGTTCTGAGTCTGTTCGACCAAGTCCCAAGACTAACATGAACAGACTACATTTAGTATAACTCAATTTTAACAGATGTGTTAAAGTGCAACACACACAAAAACTGGCAACCCGAATCAGAGATGAGCATAATGCCAAATTTGACTAGATAATAAATAATAATAAATTATGTTGTCATACTATCCATTGTTTCAGTAATAAGAGTATAGATCACCATGTTGATCTGACGACAGAACTGGACTAACCTGGTACAGGCTCCAGTCCATGCTGAGGTTCTGGGTGAAGCAGGTGGGGATTGTCAACGGAGCATCCACATAATCCTGTAACAGAGAAAAGAAACGCTGTCAGGAGAAATTGAGGAAATATTCAAAATGAAAAAGTGAAAAAAACATTACCTGATTCCAGTTAAAAACTAAACCCTCTGCTGTGTAGTCTCTGTCTTTGTACTCCTTAAAGAACTCGCACCCTGAAGACAAAGATTAGTGTGACATCACAACATGAATGCAAGAGAAATATCATTGCTATTGTACAAACACTTAAAGGAGATGTCTGCAACTTCAAAGTGTTGCAATTGAGAAAATAATACACATTTTGGCCATATGACCCTGAAGTGTCATCTATGTTAGGTATTGTTCATCATCTTGCTCCACCCAGAGGCTACTTCACCTCTGCTGCTGTGGTCTGCTCTGCTCCACCCAGTGGCTACTCCACCTCTGCTGCTGTGAGCTAAAGTGCTGTTGTATTTTTAATACTATTGATAGCTATTTTTAGAATCATCAATTTATTTGTTTTGTCTGTATGGATGGATGCGTTTCTGCTGCTACAGGACACCTGAATTTCCCCAACGGGGATCAATAAAGTATCTATTTAACTATAAATGTAAATTTTAAAAAGTCCCTCCCCCTGGAATGCCCACAACCAGTAAGACTTACTGGAGGAGTATAGTTCCATTCTGTGTCCAATATAAATACAATAAAAAAAAATTAATTCAATTAATATTTGTTAATTATAATTAAAATGAGAAGCGGTACACCAGACTCCACCTATTGCCTTAAGTGAATCCAGTTTTAACCTGAAGATTTTAGAAAATGGGTTGAGTGTGCCGTGTTTCTGCTCAGGTTGGAACTAAATCCTGCAGCCACAACGGCCTTTTCTGGAACCGGTTTGACGCCCCTGATTTAGGCCATCCTGTAACTAAGTTTAATCATTAACTATCCTCTTGTATATGCATTTCTAATATATTAAGTCAGAATAATAGATAGATCAAAAGGACAACATGTAAGTTTACCTGGATAAGGCACTGACAGCAGAGTGAAATCTGCATAGCGCTGAGCTTTATCCACTTTTTCAGAAGACGTTACACTGAAATTGCAAAGAAGACACTGTCACATCAGCAAACTAACATCTCGGGCCATGGATATAAAAAGTTATGCTCTTACTTCAAACCAAATTTGACTTTCTTGTTCTCCACCATCAAGTCGCAGATGTATCGCACCGAAAGATAACGCAGCAGCTTAATGTCGTGTCCACGGACCTTATCGAACAGCTGAGAGTCCCCATTCCTGCAGACACATGTGAAGGAAGGCAAAACGAAGGCAATGAAAAACTGAACATCGTCCATAATCTTTCCACTCATTTGATTTATATTTTTATTACTATTTAAGCTTTGCATTGGACACAAATGTTCATAGACATTAAATGAAGCACAAGAGGGAAGCGCGTATGGACAAAGTTTTTCTCCAACTCGCACTGGCTCCTATTGACTTACATCGAAAAGTAACAGTTTGTGTCCCAGCATTTTGGGCTGTAAAAATCTGTGGTTTAGTGCTCGTTATGATCCTGATGTTTATATTTTGATTTAGTCTTTGTAAATACAGATATGAGCCATACAAGGATTGATCAATCATTCACGGGGGAATATTCAGCTTGCCTTAGCAACCACCTTAACAACACATTATGTTCTAAGCGGCTTCTTTCGCATTTGACAAACAGGTGAGGTATGCGGTCTATGACAGGACATTCCTGTAGAGCTTACTAAATCTAGTTTCCTGAAACTCTACTATAGTTAAAAAATATATATACATGGATTTAAAACAGGAAAAAGGTGAAGTAAATTAAATAATAATAGGTGAGAAGGTTGTTGGGAAGCACGGTCGCTGTATAGAAAGTGTGTATTCAGGAGCGAATTAAGGGTTTCTACTATTTTTATACTATACATTATTTTGGTAACAATATTTTATTACTTATGGACTATACAAATGTCAACATGCACAAAAGCAGAACATTCTTGTTGAGCAGAGATGTGGTCTGTGGTCTATACACAGTAGTTGCTCCATGTTTAGACTGAGGCAACCTCCTACGGCGCCATTTTGAATCTTAAAGTGAGAATTGTCGTCACCTCACTCCGCCATCGTCCTCTAGAACCTCCTCTGCCTCTGTCACGGTGTCCTCAGTGCCTCCTGCAAGTTCAAAGTGAAGCGAAGTAGTCAAAGGCTTCTTTATTCCTTAGCTTTTACTCACGATCCTAAAGAAACATTCTTATTATAAGTTACCTGAAAATATATAGTTGTAGCCAGTTCGACCATAGAGCTCCCCCCAGCCTGCTAGAGTAGATGACCTGCAAATATGCTACAAAAGAAAAGTGTAGATGAGTGAGCCATTCAGAATTATTAATATTTTTGCTATTCTTCCTGGGGTGTATAACTGAAAAGGATTTGGGGTATGGTATAATGTTGTTAGAACAGGGACAGTGCACATCAAAACATTAATCAAGTCATGGGAGAGATGCTAGAACCAGGTTATAGGACAGAGGATCCTTTACACTGTAGTCCCAGAGCGGGTTGTACAGCCAGACAAATAGATCTAAATGTAGTTAGTAAAGAAATCTATGGGTAAATCAAACTGCTAAAATAAGCACTCCACACTCACACTCACACACACAGACACACAAACACAATGTTGTCTGTTCTTTGTTGCAGTCTTATTGTATTCATCTGTATGTCTGCATTTTCACCAATAAAACAATCTTAAAATAAATGGTATGAAAAACGATACTTGGGATACTGGGCTCACATCTATAAATTATTTGAAAGACATCATCCACTCAAATGCTCTCATCGTGCAAATAGAAGAAAAATAAAAATTAACTTCCTCCTTTAACATGATCTCTTTAAATATCTCATGACACACATTTCCATCCTCCTATACATAAATACCTGCAGCAAACAATTCTAAAGACGTTTTTGGAATACATTTTTGTTAGCTCAATCATTTTTGTTTCCCAATGTCTAATGTTGCTACTAAATACATCCTACATATGCTACCACTACAGTCGGTGTGGCATGAGGCTCCTGTATGGAAACCCATGTTCGAACATTGTGTGTAGCGTAAGACAGGGAAAAAGCCTGCAACAGATGAAAAGCATTTTCTGATTCTGTCAGTCATTTGTGCTTTATGTAAATGATGACTTACTACTGGTAAGCACTGGGCTAAATGATCACAACTACTGTTGAAGTGAAACTAACGACTTCCTTGCTTCGTTTTTTGTTTCTGCAAGAGTCTGTGTCTAGACAGATACAATTGAAATCAATGTAAATATGGTACCTTTCCTTTGTAGAGGATGACAGGACAAACAAATCTTCCCCTACACCGGGCAAGCTTACTCCGGTTCACCAGGTCCTCAAGCTTACCGATTTGCACAGCAGCTTCCCTTCTGAAACATACAAAATAAGATTTCACTCTCTTGTCATTGTCAATTCACCATATATTTAATAATAAAACACACAAGAGCGATTATTGATGGAAACGGTTTAGAATTACAATTCAATAATCTGGCCCTTTTCTGAACAGTTGTGGGGTGGTGAATGAAAGCCAACCTTTGGTCTTAGATCAGCTATAGATGAGGACATAGACCACAAGAAAACAAACACATGATAATAGCTAACTGAATGGACTTTGCCGTAGAGGATACCTGCTTCTCTCACACGCCAGCTCCTGCTCCAGGAACACGATTTGACGCGGGTAGTGTCCGCACACCTCTCCATTATAGTTGTGGATGATACTGTACTTGTAGTCCTTTGAAAATAAGTCCAGGGTTCGTCTCTCAATTTCCTCCACCTGAAATATACACAAAATATATATTTCCTGAGCCAGTACACAATTATGATCGTAAAATATATATTTATGCTGTGCGACATAAGGATTCATGATTGCAGAGATGCTTAGATGCCCCCACACTGCGGCTCACCTGTGGAGTTACTTCCTTTGCCCTGTACTGAGTCTTGGAGAACAAATAGATTAGATCTGCTATTTCCTCGCTCTTTCTCAGTGACAGCCCAGAGGCGGCCATGGCAGAGCCTCTTCCCAGGGCGACAGGCTGTAACCTGACGTGGCCTCCCTCATACACAGCAGCGCCCTGGCTCTTGGCTCCGGAGGGGCGGACAGGCCATCCCTTCCCGGCCAACTTCTTCCTGAGAGCCCGCGGGAACGGGCCGGAGCCGGGGACTCGCCGGGAGTTCAGGGCCGTGGTGGAGCCTTCAGTCAGCCCTCCGCTCCACAGCCACACAGCCCCGTCTGCACACGGTCAACAGGCCAGATACAAGACTCAATAATTAAAGACGTCCACAGGTAAATCCGGGTGGTTTCGTAATAGCACATATATCGCTGAGTCCCGAGGTTAACCCACACATGCACTTGTTTTGAGAGTTCCCGAAAGCTAACTCTGACCTACACGCTACACCACCTGCGGAGCCTCCACCCGTCCCCGTGTCCGTAGAGACAAATCATCAATCATCAAACACATTTGACAAAAGCAGAGGTTTGAGGCGTCTTCAGGCTCTGAGCTGAGCACTGATGTTGTAATGCGCGATGTTTGCACCGTACGAGCTAAAGAAAACAGTAAACAGGAACATGGAGAAGACACGTGACCGGAAGTTCATAGTATTTGTCCCCCTCCCACCGAATTATTTTACACAGGGTGGCAGGGGAAGCGCGGCCTCTGATTGGCTGCTTCGTGTCAAGTTAATGACATTTTTTTGTTCAATGAATAATACATTTTGTTACTCCCGATTAGAGTCATGTAAAAGTAAAGTTTGCAAACAATCAGACCACAGCATTCTGTATTTATCTCTCAATTCATGTACAAAAGTCCCCAGTGTGCACCAGACAAGTGTATAACTAATACAAGCTAAAAAAAAAAATACATAAAAAGTACAGAAAACAATTGTCACTGTGAAATCAATCAACAAAAACCGTTTCAATACAGATCAAGATCATTAACATGCTTTGTTTAAACTGATAACAACTTGTGGAAGGAAGTTGTTAGCAAAATGAGACCAATGATGGTGGTGTTATATTATATGAGGCCAGAGGAAGTCAGAGGAAGAAAAAAGCAAAGGACACAAAATGCATCCCAGAGGAAAACCGATGCTCACATCTGAAAAACAGTCATTGATTTTGACTTTTTGAGATCTGTCCCTTGAGCTATTCTTAGGTACCTTAAATGCATATTTTTTTCAAGCTGATGATGATTTTTGATGTCTTGACCAGCCGTGTGTCTGCCAGACCCTTTTAGGCCCTTTTAGACCCTAAAAGGGTCTGATTGACCCACGGCTTTCCGGACTGTGGTCCTGGATAAGACCCACTGGACCGACAGTGAAGGCACCCTGATTGAAACATTTGGGAATACAATAGGCAAGAAACTAAAAGCATATTTAGCTCATTTGGCAGAGCTTGGCCAACAGATGCAATATTCTCAGCACTTGGTTTCCAAGACGTGATGGCTTTTATACCATTCCACATGAGCCGGGGGTCATCTTCTTCAAAATAACCCTTTAACCTGTCCCTGTAACGGCACTCTGCAGATTTAACATAATGTTCAAGGAGTATAACTGGAAGCCATAGCATCAAATGATTGAAACCCTAATGTATGAATTTCCAGTTTGACTTCAGCGTTCATCCATTGATTCTGACTAAAATGTTCTTTGATGACCTTCTGTGGGTTACAGCAGTCAATGCAGTATGTATCCCATCACAGCATCACAGAACTCATTCACATCATGAGACTGACACGTCTGAAAATGCTGCTCTAATGTGACAGAGACCATACAAATACATGCATGTGAATTCTAATGATTGAACCAAACTGTTTTCAGAGTGAGGTCCTGGTTCATCCAGTTCCTTTATCCGAGCCAGGAACTATAGTCAGATGGGTTTTATACATAGTTCATTTTCAAGGGTGGACATTAGCAGAATCGGATTTTCAGACTGCTAACTGTTGAACTATGTTACTTTAAAGTATTCTATACCTCTAAAAACAGATCATTTTCACGTTCTACCCATAGACTGTATAGTTCTACCTCAGCTTTTAATACTATCTGTACTGTTGCTCCTCATCCCAGAGGCATTTTAACGGACATTTAAATGTGTTCATGTTTCTAAGAACTTCAATATATTATTGGGGGACTTTTTGCTTTTACATTAAGCACCTTGGGTTATACTTATTACAAGTATTTGTATGAAATGCGCCATACAAATAAACATTATTGGCTCACTGGGCCCCATCTAACACAGGTATTTTCTGTCTCGAAGACCCTTGAATTATGTTGTGTCCAATAAGACTTGTGTGATGTCACTGAAACAGTATGTGAACATGTTATGAGAATAAAAACAAATAAGTTTCCAGAGTATAATAACGGTTAAAAAATCCATTATCATCATCATTTTATTATCAAAATGCAATACAACTTTTCTTAAATTTTTTGGAGGGCAACAATTGAATTAGTTACTACTATGATCTGTGTGGAAATTACAAACAAAACAAACAAATGTACAAAAAAGAATGCAGCATCTGAGTGGAACCAAGGAGCAGACCCAAAGATTAACTTCCAAATGACCAGAAAACAGAAATCATGATTCATGTGTACTATATCTTCATACAGGTCTATATATCACATATCTTTCTATACACAGGTCATATAGTCTTACAATGTCCTTTTGTGTTTTAAGGTTGAATCTCTTGTTTTAAGGTGCTGGTAATTTTGACCCACAAACTGTTTCGGTTTGGGTCAAACATTCCTCGTGTTGAAGTTGTAGCAGGGAAAACAGAAGTAGAGCTGCTCAGCCCAGTGTGGCGCTGGCATTCAGACCAGCTAAAAGGTCCCACCACTGCATTAGCATAACCGCCTCATCAATCAGAAGGATTGCAACAAAGAAATACATCAACTCTTCCAAGGAGAAGTAGCTCTTCCAATAGAACTTAGCAGCAGTAGTTATATTCTTTTAACAGTTATCCAAAAACTCCCTCAGATCCCTCGGTATCACATGGAATGCAAGGACTGGTCAGAGATGGGGGAAGTAGTACTGTTGAACAAATCAAACCCAACATGTGAATAAAATGCCTATTTGGTTATTTCTCTAAACACAATCACAGGAAACTCTGCTCAATATGAACAAAATAAAACCGATTTCAACTAATATAGTGGCTAGATCAGCTCTAGATGCAGAACTGGCTTTTGTTTCACTGGATAATGCAGCACCTTAATCCCCAAGAGCATGAACTGCATCAAATCCAATAGATGTCAGTGACAGACAGCATTTAAATAAGAAAATAAAGAGTAGACGTCAAAAGGGAAAACTACATTTTTGACCAGTTATTATTGAGTTTACTGAAAGCCTTTAATAATGGAATGGTACTGACAAGAGTGGGCTGAAAGAATGTGATGGATGGTTCAACTAACTAAAAAACCACATAACCCCAGTGTGGTGAAACCAAGTTGAAGTACTATACACTTAAAATATACATTCATAGCTGCATATCAGCTTCCATTTTCAATTCTCCTTTAGGGTTTAGAGATTAGGTATGGTCTGTGGTCTGTATACCCAAAACATAAGTTTTTAAAAGTCCAAATTATAAAGGCATACACCATGGGCTGATACAGTACAAGGCAACAGGTAGAATGTTGGCTAGTCTGAAGCAGTTTTTAAAAACAAAAACCTCTACCATAAACATAGTCTTCATTGTCCGACTGGCCTCACAAATGTTTATTGCTGATGAGTCTAAACTTTAATAACACTTCAGTTGTATTGGTTCATTAGATCTAAAATGTATTTTTCAGATCAATACAATACATGGATGTTGGACATCAGGTGGGATGCGTAAAGAATTTCAAGTCAAAGTAGGCTTTAATAGCACGCAATTTTCTGCACTTTCGTTTCCAACATTTGTGATTGAGGGACACTTTACGGACACATTGTTGACCTTGGTCAAAATACACCCATGAATCCCAACTGATACTGCTATTTACGGATGTTTGTGAACCTCACTTGAGCCTGGCACTTTAGAAAGCAGGAGGGGGGATCCAAGCAGTCATCATTTCCATAAAGTGTCTATGATCTTTGGGCAACGTATCAAACAATATCCCACAAAGCAACGGAAACAAAGAAAAATAACAAATAAATCCACTAGTCCTTGTTCCTGGATGTTTTTTACATCCATTGTCCTGTAAGTCCCAAAACAACCTGAATGCACTACTCGTGAGTGACTTTCACAGCACCTCTTGCTCTTGCACACATCCTCAAACATGGATCAGTGACCCGTGCCTAGTCCAGCGGCGCAGCCTCGGCCCTGTGGCCAGCTGCTGGTGTAGAGCGCTCAGAAGAGGGAGTTTAGGAAGTCACAGAGTGGTCAAGAAGGTGACCCAAAGAGTGGCCCAGACGCAAATGCGAGCCTTCCCAGGGACTGAAGGAACCTTGGAATGGAGACTGGAGGTTTGATGAGGGAATGAGGGGCTGTCAGTCCGCTGGCTCTCTGTAGACTGAAAAGAAAAACACATTCATGAATTTCAGTATAATCACGTCAACCAAAAACACGTGTACTTGATCCAATCCCCTTTTCAAATGCATTTTAGTTTATTTTGCACTCTTTTAAAAAAATATTTGGACTGTGGACATCACGTTCTCATTTTTCTAGTCACATATTTAAAGCTGCATTACCTCACTTTATTTTTGTAGTCATTACGAAAATTCCATCCATATCCATGCAATGCATTGGGATATACGTCCTTTTGAAGAATAAGTAGCGCAAGTTTGTGCTGGCGTGTCATTTTATTTTAGATCGAGTTTTCGTGCAACAAGGAAGAGAATTTGGTAAACAAGCGGAGGTAAACAAGCAGAGGTTAACCTGAAACTTCCCGTGTCTTCGTAACCGGTTACTGCTTACACAGCCATCCAAAAGAAAGTCTTGTTCCTCCGCGCTTCCGGTTCTGTCATTCTATGGTCACGCCATCCGCGTTCAAATGTGCGATCCATATTGTGAGACGCGAACTCCGTAAACACATAAACACAGGCTGAGTGGGGGGGGGGTAAGTGTGGGGAGCAGAAAGGGCTAGGCCAGCGCTCACATTCGAAAATGTCACAAAGTGAGTTAGTGCAGCTTTAAAGCATGGAAATTCTATTGATTCTGTAAGTAGAAAGCAACCAATCGTTGTTGATAGTGATGCATAAAAAATAATGATAAAGCTAACATACGCATTTACTGCACACCTACCACATTCTTTGTCACTTGAACCGTCACCATGCTTGTAGGTGCGCTCACTCTTGATGCTCCTCAGCACTCGCTCCAGAACGCCTTGCCCTTCTCTTAGACGTTCAACGCTCGTCGGAACCATCCTGAAAAGATACAAGAAGTACAATCTTTCATCAGCGATGGACACAAACTACACATTTCAACCACTACCAAGAATGTGTAGGCAGACGAGGTCACACCCACGCTTGTCAAAACTGCTCACCACTGGTTGTCCTGGTGTCGGGACGAGACGGGGGTCTGTGGTTCCGAGGGGCTGACTGCCTCTGTGTGGGGGCTGGAGTAAGGCGGAGCAGAGGGGGGGTAGGGGTGAGGGGAGGCCCGATGCTGGGGCCGCTGAGTGTGATGAGTGTCCTGGATGTAATGGTTGCTAATGGGCGTGTGTGTGGCACTTAAGGACTCGGGGTCTCGACCACAGCTCCGCTTCCTTTTCCGGTACTCGAGCAAAGACACCTGAGGATCAACAAGGTGATCATCAAACTAATTATCATCACAAAGCAGCTTTTTAGGGTTCCCACTGATGCTAAAAAAGGACTTTCTCCCGCTCTTATGTAAAAACCAGTCCTGTTACAAAAATGGACAGCTATACATCTATAACTAAGACAAATAAAAACAAGACGCATGGGAACCCTGCATTCACATCAATCTGACAAAACACGCCATGCACTTTTGAATGCACACCTGACCACTCCACTTAATCACTATGGAAACACCTGCACAGATCACTTCTCTTTGGCTATGGAGCTTGGTGCATATCTATTGCGAACTGAATGCATGGTTAGTAGCATAAAGCAGCTACAGCATTTACAATGGAGCAGGCACTTGAAATTGAAACCATCACAAAATGCAACCATACAGGACACCCACAACATCCACAGACCGCTCGGACGTACACCAACACCAGAGACCACACATACACTGCGAACATGTTAACATTTGAGGCGTCTGTGAACACATGAGGGAGTGTGACATGACAGAAGGAGAGCACAACTTCAGAGTGATATGTCGGCACACACAAAAGGGTCTATGCTCAATGAACGCTTTTACTTCAAACTGTTTAGAGCTAATATAAACTAAAACGCTCAGTCATTTGTCATTCATGATCAGCTACTGTTATTTTTCTTAGAGCCCATCGGCAGTATATTGCTTCAGATCACAAGGCCAGTGTGAATGAGGCTTTATATTTCTGTTGCCCGTTTCAACCACCAAACAGTACTTTTTAAGTTTTTATTATTCAGATCAAAGTTACCAAAGAACAGCTTAAAGAAAAAAAGAAAAATGTTTTAAATATCTGGCTTTTTCTCACCCTAACCGTTTTAACTTCATTTTTGATTTCCCCCAAAACCAATCAGAGAATAATAATATATACACTGGCATCGCAAATATAATCAAGGTAAGCTTTTTCTGGGAACACACTGTTCTACGAGGACTCTGGAGGCAGATCCCCAAACTCCTTACACCTTGATTTTCCAGACAATTTATTCAAACTAATTAGATAAATTGTCCAGCTCAACAAGAGAGAGAGATATGTAATATACACATCTATAGATGCACAATGGGCAGGATACTAATACATTTCTGCCTGTTAAAATTAGTGAGCTCACATTAAACTACACAATACTCATGCGTCACGAAACATGATCGCAACAACTCAATGTCAGTTGGAGGGAGAGGACAGAGCTTGTATAATGGAGGTGTTGTATGCAGATGCAATAAAATACTGACATGCACACTAAAGGCAGTTTTAGGAATATTCACCATATTTTGAACTTTCTTGTATTCACTTCTTACAGCTATAGCCTGGTAATGTGTCTTCCCTGTCACCAGACTAATGGGTGACTGCTTGGCCCTCTGCCTTGGAAAAAAGTGGAAGACAAACTTGGCAAACAAAGTAAAGTTGTGGGAGGGAGGAGGAGAGGTCAAAGCTTGAGTCTACTGAGGTGCTGTTGATTTCAATTTTCCATGTGGTTTTTCATTAGGAACATAATTATGAGTTAATCTTATCTCATCTTAATTATATCAAACAATTCAACTGAAAATATTTACACAATATATATATATTAACTAAACATTTTGAATCTGCAGAATTAGAATGCCTTAAAATACAAAAAGCAGTCGCATTACAATAATATTTACTTATCCGAGTAAACATTAACATACAGTACAATAAAGAAACAAATAGTGTCATCTCAATGTACAATACTTGCCTTCTTTTTTTGAGGCTGGTTGCCCATGTGAGGTGGCGTGCCACTGTCTGGGTACATTCCCCCATAAAGAGTATCCCCATACGGAGACATAGACCCATGGTCCCCCATGAGGCCATGCCCACTCAGAGAGCTGTGAAGAGAGTCGGCAGGGGAAAAGCATTCTGCTTTCGGGAGCCGCTGGTCGGACGGGCCAGCGTTCCCCAGGTTTGCATTGAGAGGTGAACAGGTATAAATGAGATTGAATTCAGTCTTGAAATTTTGCTCCCGGCTTTGGTCCGATGACAGACAAGAGGCTTGGTTCAATGAATTTGTTCCAAGTGTTGGGCCTTGAGAATCAGGGCCTAAAGCACCTCCAGGTAGGGAGTATTCATCGGACATGACAGCTGCTGGACTCTCCAGGCTGGAGGAGAGCGACACTTCCAAAAACTGCGGTCGAGAAATGTCATAGTCCGTTTGCACACATGGCTGAGACATACAGAGTGAAAGTTACAAAGAGTTAAGTAACGTATTCCTGACCACAGAAAGATTTAGTTTGAGTAAAATAGTACCTCAGGAGATATGGACTCCGGCCTGTGGACTGGAGATGCCTCTGGTGACGATATGTTCTAATGAGACAAACCAAGTTTACATTTAGATATAGGGTGTCCAAGTTTTACCAGACAGTGGTGGAAGTAAAGAAGACTGACCCATCTATTATTCAGACTTTTTCTTTGACATTGTTAAAAATAAGTTGCCTTAAGACGTGTATAAATCAAAAGCATTGTTATTTTGTCTTACTGTCACGTTTACTTCTCTGTTGTATTATTGTTCATTGTCTACAATGTTCTGATCTGTAGTTTTCTTATATGTATCAATTCTTGCTCTCTGGGTATTATTTTTTTCATACATTTTTAAGTTGGCTGATGTGTAAATGGAAAATGGGGTGGGAAGTCCTCTTCTTCCCACTCCCTTTCAGGCAAAACATTTTTTGGATTTTTATGATAATAGCAACTGTGATGATGCTCTTGTGTTTGCCTGAAATAAATACATTTAAAAAATAAAAATAAAAGCACCTTTATTAATTGTTATTGTAATTGTAAATTGTTATTTATAACTTAAGATGAGTTGCCTATAACGAGAGTAAGCATATGTACCTCAAACTGCAGTGGGGTGTTACAGCGACTCGTTGGCAGTGAGGGCAAAGGGGAGAAGAGGCCGTTAGAAAGACAAGCCGTGTGGAGCAGAAGATGGTTGTCTGGAGGAGGGGGAGTTATGGGCGACAGCGGCCGGAGTAAATGATCCGAGGTGTTTGCTGGTGTTGATTCAGTCAGATACTTTGATCTGCGCTTTTTAATTGGTGCACTACCTTCTGAAATTGGGAAAGAATTAATAAAAACATATATAAAGACCATTCTCAGTTTGACTTAAAGCTGGGGTACCTAACTTTAAAGGCACTATATTGAAATCCAACTAGAGAGCGAGAAACACATACTGTATGTATTTTTGACCTCTGTCACGTCTTAAGATCAGAATTTTCAGCCAATGAGATCACTACCAAATAGTGACTCACAGGGCTTTTTTGAGAGCATGCAAAAGATTTCTATTAAGAAAAGCGTTCTGATTTCTTCACAACATTTAACTTTCACTCTTTCTGTAGCTACACCAGCTTTACATTAAACATGTATGTAGGCAGACAGGGGACTGACCAGTGGGCAGTGGATTGGGAGTTGACCTGCTACTTGTACTTTTCTGAGACAGGGTGGACTCTGTTCCGTCTTCAACACTGACGGAGCAGCTCTCATCTTCCATCTGCTTTATCCACCTCTGTTGAAAGGAATGATCACAGGAAGAAAAACATTAAGTTATTTTCTTTCATGAGATTATCTGAATTTTGAACTAATTCAGGTGTGCTAAAATGAACAAGCTGTCCTTTCATTTCAACTTAAATATTTCTATTTTAGCATTTTATTGTATTTTCTTGTGGTGAATGGATGAGGGGAAAATCCAAGAGTTTGCTACATCTAACCTGTCTTCAAACCTCAAACTGTATATCTGTGTTGTGTTCATGTTAGTGTATGTGAAATATATTGTGCATATTCCAAATAAACAATTGAATCTATTGCAGACCAAAGCACAACCATCTTCTATGATGTTTTTTTTTTTTTATAGTTTATTAAGCCAAACTTCACCTTCTTGTAACAGCCATAAGTGCCATCCATCTGGAGCGGACGGGGTCTGCGTCTTTCAGGGTTGAAGGGTGAACCAAAGCGGATGTATTGTCTGGGAGTTGTACAGATCATGGATGTGTGAGACAGACCGGGCAGCATGTTCAAAGTGGTGGCCAGAACGGTTGGGTCTGTGGTTATCCTCAAAGGACGCTCCACTGGAAACTCCTGGAACATCTTCTCACCTCCAGGCACTTTGTCATTCAACCACTCAGTCACCAAGTACTGCAGGAAGAACATACAGCAATGTCAAGCAATGGGTGAATTGCATTTGCCAGTTATGAAAGTTTATAGCTGTGGCGTATTGGCAGTCACTAACCAAAGCTGCCTCACCTTCTTGGTCTTCGGGTAGCGGAAATTGCCTCTGTGGATACAGTTCGGACCTTGGCCTTCATCAAAAAGGCCCACTGAACCAAGGAACCCTTCTCCCTGTTCTGCACCATAGGGGCCCTGAGATGCCTCCTCTTCTTGAGCAGCACCCTGATCAACAAGTGCACCAGAAGCTGCCACTGCTGCGGCTGCTGCTGCAGCTGCTGCCGCCGCTTGCTGAGCCAGAGCCTGGCGCTGACGACGTGCTCGTTGTGATGAAGTCGAGCGATAACGGGACATTCGACTTTTGGGCCTGGGCTTTGCAGGTCGTGCAGGTTTAGCTGGAACAGGGGGGGGGAGAACGCTGAGAGAAGTCTTCTCATCAGCTGGAGTTGGGTCCTAAGGAAATTATGAGTTAGAGAAATGTCAGTGCAAGCAATCGATTCAAACATACTTTAACTTGTTGCTTCAGATTAAACTATGCACTTACTGTGACGTAGGTGGTGCGTCGTGTGCTCATCCCAACTCCAGTGGTTGGAGTGGCTTGACTTCCAACAGCGACGCTCCGAGAATCCGCTTCTACACATTCCTCTTTCAACTCTGCAAAGCCTGCTTTTCGCCGTCTTTTCTCTGCATTGTTAGGTGTCTATGGACAAATTGCATGGTCAATATTTAGGATGGATCGCCAGTTTTTACATATAATATATATATTTTTTTCACCATTGTTTAATTCCCTTTTTCAGTAGCGTCCAGGCCAAGGGGCAGCAGTGACAGACTGACAGTAACTTTTACTGGCATTTATTCATTGCCGTTTCAAACCAAAAGCACTGATTAATTCATAACTGGGGAAATATTACCATGAGAAACTTTAGAGCCCCATGCTCGATTGTAAGAAGATAATCTAAGAGGTACAGTATGAGGGTGGAACATAACTCACAATTTTCTCTAACTGCATAACTAAAAACGTTTGAGGCATACATGCTATTTTTATTTCACTGAGGGTTTCATAGGACTGCCCTTCATAACTTTTTGGGGTCAGATTTACACAGTACACAGTTAACTACCACCTGCTTTGTCCAAGCACGAGCCCTTTTCTGGTTTTGTTCCAAATACCCAAAGCTCTGCATTTGTGTGTGAGCGTGCAGGCCTGTTTCTGCTCGCCTCTCATGGAGGAAAGGAGGAAAAAAGAAAATAAGTTTTTCTCAGAAAATATTTGTTGAAACAAGGATTTTCCCCCGTGCTCATACACGTCTAAATGAGTCATGACGGTTATACTCCATCGTGAAATCATTACGATTCTCCTGCAGTTGATGTGATGTTTCAGACATTTCAATGCATACTTTTTAAAAGGTGTAGGAACATCATTTATTAAGAGTAACATACTTTATTACTAGGGCCAGGCACTCCGTTTTCAAACAGCTCCATATCCTTCTCATCAGGCTTCAGTTCTTCTGAGGGTTTCTCCTTGAACACACAAAATCAAGATGCACATTAATATATTGAAATTGGGTCCATGATACAGTTTGCTCAACATTAAAAGCTGGGTTTTAGAGTTTTTCATTGCCAATGCAGGAGGGACTGTTAGCGGGTCTAACAAAAAAGACTGTGGTGATGATCCAGGATTCTACATTTATGGACATTTATCAACACTTACGGACATTTGTCAACCCCTATTGACCAATACTTATGTTCTTTATTTTTTGTGTTTGAACAGTTGTGATTTAGGGCTATACAAGAATGAATTGAATTGATTTAGTGCTTCAGTTTGATTCTATGCTTAGTTACCTCAGTATCGCTGACTCCTAGTGTATCTTTGGCTTCCGTAGACAAGCTAGTGTCACCACTGGAGCCCTCTTGCCCTTTCCTTTGGGCCTTTCTTCTCCTCGTTTCTGCTCCAATCAAAGGAGCAGGCGGTAAAAGGGATGGTGGACTCAGCAAATCTGTGGGCTTCAGGTTGTGTTTCTGTACTGGGCAGTTCTCATTCCCCTTGTGGCAAGCGCAGTCCACTTTGTAATTACTGTAAGTTACAGAGTGTGGCAAATGATTACGAATGATTACAGATTGTATAATCCATGTCTTCTTCTGAACATTCCATAACTACATTTATACACGGTCACACAAGATACAAGAATGTATTTGCCGTTTGCAGTATGTGACAAATGCCATTAGTTGATATTGTAGAGAAATGCAGTATTTTAACCGACTGTGCAAGTTATTATAAATGAGAAAAAGCATTGCATATGATGCAAGTAATAAAAGGAGATTAGATTATCCAAATACTTACCAGCTGTTAAATTCAAAGTCAAACCCAATGGTAACCTCAGAATCCTTAGTGATTTGACTAACAGCAAAGATGCATAAGTGAATCATCCCCTCAGAAATCATATGTCGGACCTGAACACAGAACAAAAGGTGAATCCGATGGCAATTTGAAGCAAAACCACAAACTATACATTGTTGTTACATAAAACCGCTTACTTCAGCATTGGGTGTGCAAGACCTCCTGATAAACCGGGCATCATTACCGAATGTCCGCGCATCAACACACATGTCTACATCATTGTACTTTGAATAGAAGAGCACAAATGGGTAGGGTCTAAAACGAAACGGCAGACATGAATAAAAAGGCATTTTGAAAAACTTGACTGTAAATAACTCATGACCTTACTTTTTGAAGAAGTGGCCATTGACTTCGAACTGTTGTTTGAGCATTACTTTACCGCGGTACTCGATAATGAGGGTGTCAGGCTCCAGAGTCTTGGCCGCTCTTAAAATCTTCCTGTGTTTCTGCACACGAGTAACACGACCCAACTGGAGCTGGGAGAGAATATTATGAAAGTATTCAACAACAAATATATTAGCAAAAAATGGTAAAGTAGTCGTAAAGTACACAATAATGCAGTGGGCTAGAGAAAACAAATAGATTATGATAACCGTCCCATATTAAGCTGACACACAACAACAAGCTATACAGTGATGAAGTGAGTTACCAGCAACAGTCTATTTTCATGATCAATATTTTTGATAGTACTTTGCCAATTCATTACTTTGCAGATATTTGTCACATATTGGAGAATTTCATGCCTTTGGAAGATCACAATATCTCCCAAAGGCATGAAATTGAGACAACCACAATGTCTCAAAAAAGAAGACTCATTAATCTGTTTCAGGTTTAAATCCTTCCTGTTTGGAATGTAATGAAAAAAAAAAATCAAGGAGGAAAAAATGCTCATGGATTGCCATAAGAGCAAGGAAGATCTGGTGCGCTGAACTTGAGATACAGAGTCATCGTTCAACTATGAAGAAAAACATGTACAAATATGGTCTTCATGGAGTCGTCGGAGGAAGGCCCTCCTATGACTGCAGTAAGTGTTTGAAGTTGGCCATGAACATTTAGACAAGCCCGGTGTATTTTTGGAAACAATTCCCGTTGACTAATATGGTTATAATTAAAACTTGTAGGACAAAATTAGCAAAGATACAAATAGAAGAGAAGAGAAGAATGGGGGTGATATTTCATGTTAAGCGAGGGGCTGGATACACCTTGCTTCGGGCTGGCGTATACAGTGAACAGCCTGTATATTACAGACTGTGGAATAGGGATGCACAATCTAGGGAAAACTGTGGTACTTAATGAAGGTGGCACTATATAAGCAATAAAGTTTGATTTTTTTATTTCCAAATATATGGAAAAAGTAATAAGAAAAAACAAGATACAAATATAAAAAAAAAAAACAAGTAAACAGAAAAAAAAAGTACAAAAAAAAAGGTTGAATGTAGAAAGCGTTTATTTGGCTCCACCCTCTCTCACTCATTAAACACAACCCAACACACATGACAGGACACAGGCCCACACACTCTGACTGTACACCTCCCTCTCCCACAACTCGCTCTGTGCTTAGGGATCACACCTCCACATACTTCATCTATCACGTTGTTATGAAGTTGTTATAAGCTCTATTGGGCTTTTTTTAATCTCTCATCCATCTATCCCTTTTGACTATCACCTGACTGGATAAATGCAATGCAAGGTTCTGGATGGGCAAAACAAGTGTTCTGCTTTGGTGCCACTGACCTGCATTTGTGAGCCGAGGACCGTGTTGTTACTGGAGAGTGATATCTGGTGTAGAGTGTCCGAGAGCTCTGCTGGACTGGTCTGTGATAAGGGAGACTGGGAGCCTTCAGAGCGGTTCTGGAGGAGCGACTGTACATCTGCACTGTACTGATTGGTCAGTGCTTCCTCGTATTGGTCCGTCCACTTGCGAATTTTATTTTCCCACCCCTCCGAAGTGTTTTCATCCAGCACACTCGCATCTGTTGTTGAATTCTGCATAATACAGAGCTACAGTAACTTCACAGTTGTAAATCTTTGAATGCTATAAAATTAAGGCTATTATTTTGGTGAAGCATACCTTCATTCGCATGGATTTCCTGGAACCTTCTCTGAAAGCCTGAATACAATAATGGAAAAAGTATATAAACATGAGGCCCCCATGCTTGTACAGTCCATCACACTTCCAGCATTAGTCCCTTTTACCTTGACCTTCTTGGCCTTTGCTACGCCACGACTTTTTTCCGTGCTTTTCTTCCTCTTTTTGGATTTGCTTCTTTTGACTCTGTTGACCGTGAGTTTAATGCTGGTGGGCGTGTGTTGAGTGGCTGTGTAAGACACGGTTGAAGGGGAGACCTCTTCGTCGCCACTTTCAGTAGCACTGCTTTCTCCTTCTAACAATGATACAAGCAAAGTCTGCAGTCAAATATCCGCCCCATACATTGTCCATGTATTTCTGTGAATGCTTAAAAACATACCAGAGACATTTTCGGTATTTGTGTGACCCTTTTCTCTTTTACAGCTCTCGATGTCCCTATAAAATAAAAAAATAAACTAAATTAAAGCCGCAAGCGGCGATGAAAGGCCTCGCCCCTCTTGCGACCGCCTCCTGGGCGCCGGTCCCACAAGCGTCACGCCGACGAATTGGCAGCCCGATCTGACCAGGATTACGTATATAAAAGCTCATTTATATGATAAAGTGCGTCCCTAGTGGTCACCTCCGGGACATGCACCCTCTACGTAGAGTAGTATTTTGCTCGTGCAGATGTAAAGATTTGATTTTGCAACTTTGGTGAAGATTGGAAAAGTTTAGGTCAGAAGCCTTCCATAGGTGGCGCTGTAGAGTCATATTAGGTGTGTGTTTTCACACCATTACTCTCAGGCCATTACCAACTGTTAGTGATGTGAGTTTCAGCTCTGTAGGTCTGAGCCTGTGGTCAGGAGAGCATCAAACATGGAGAAATTCCCCACTACCTTGCATGAAAACGATAACAAAATTCTAACTTTTATGCGATGATTACATAACTTCAATCCGTCCAGATATAGAAATGACATGGTAGAAGTCTGTGCGATGAAAATCCAGGGACTAGTACGAAGCCAAAAATGCAACACATTGAACTGCCTGTAGGTGGCGCTGTTGCACTCACAGTTGTGTGTTGCATATCGTTGTGTTCAGGGTCATACGTTGTATTTCTGAATTCATTTTTAGCCTCATCGGACAAACATTTTGCCCTAAAAAGCTCATTTATTCACTTTCCAGCGCCCCCAGTGGTCAGGTGTAGGACTTACAACTTTTGCGTAATGTAATGTTTTGCTCGTGTCGGTCCAGAGAATACACTCAGCGATTTTCGGGCTGATCCGAGCACTAGTGCCCTATTACTTTCCGACAGGTGGCGCTAAAGAGCTCAAATTGGGCGAATGATTTTAGTGTCATTGCGTTCAGGCCATAACCTAATATTACTGATGTGAGTCTCAGCTCTGTAGGTCTGAGCCTGTGGCCCTCAGGGCTCAGCGAAAATGGCCAAAACGAAGGCCTTATTCGCCATGGCGAGGGACGAAAACGGTGAAGATTTTCTAACTTTTTTTCGATGATTATATAACTTCAATCCGTCCAGAGCGGGAAATGACGTGGTAGAACTCTGTGTGATGAAAAACCAGGGACTAGTTCGAATTTATAAATGAAAAGTCAAATTAGTGGCGAAACTTCGGCCCCTCATGGCCGACTTCCTGTCGGTCCCAGACATGTGCTTAGAACGGCTTTTATGCTCGTCTCATAGAGATCTATCACTCATCCGAATTTCGTGTACCTACTCCAATATTTGAAAAAAAATCCCCAGAGGGTCAAAAAAAATGAAATTTCTAGGGGGCGTTATAGAGTCGGCGAGCGTCGGACAATCTGGAAACGTTCATTTTATTAAATTTTTCGCCGGACCGGTCGTTTTAGACCCCCCATGTGCAGACTTTCGTGCATGTCTTCAGGGTCAAAAATCGAATTGAAGATGCGGAAAAAAAAGAATAATATGAAACCGGTGAATAACAATAGGCCTCCCCAATACTTCGTATTGGCTCGGCCTAATAAATGTACCTTTTTAAAGTCTTCAATTGAACAAATCTAAGACAACTCAAATGGGAGGACCCTGGAGAGTGATAAATGTGTATAATCATAATAGACATTATGTCGATGTGTCTTTGGTGGTTTTCTTAGTCATTTACCAGTACACAAACGTTTACAAAAAGTGAGTTAATATTCTATAGAGTTCCAAGTTTTGTGAATGCTTGGATTCAATACTACAATAAATGAAATATCTATTAAACATGTGTCATGTAATATTATATTTAAGTTCAAATCTGCAAATTTAATAAAAGCCCAAACCCTTCACAGTTGCATTTCTTTTCTGACAGCAGCTTGTCATGATAAGAAATGGCAGCATAACACTGCTTAAACGCACAGTTTGACTTCATATGTTAACACATAAGAAAAGATGAAGGCAGACCTGCAGTGGTCACACTTGATGAGGATATTGTCTGCTGTCAAACTACACTGACACCAGCTTGAGTTGGGTGGCTCGTCGTCAGAAGAGCTGTCACTGTCGGCGGAGTTGTCCTCAGGAGATTTCTGATATCGAGAAGCTCTAACCACACCATTGAGCTCCATGCGGGGAATGATTGTTTGGGACAGTGGGGAAGCAGGTGGCGTGGGGGGCGGAGGCGCACCATAGTTGTGATCTTGGCAACACACAACGGAAGACTGCTGCATCTGCATAAAAGAGGGGGTTACAATTCAATATTGGCCTCAAATCCACACATATCATGGAATGAATGTGTGTATTCAATATTCTTACAGCATACGGTAGACTGCGATACCCATGACTCTGTGCACTCCCGCAGCTATGGTTGAAGTTCTTTTCATTCACTGCAGGACTTGCTTCGACTGATTCAGGGCTGAAAACAAAGCATACACAAGTTTGAATATAGAACTATTGGCCAACAAGTGGCCTAGGGTCTGACAATAGGTTCTTGGGTAAATATTGTCCAGCATTCACGTGGGCTCAACCTTGGATTAAGCGTTAACTACGTGTGTGTTAGGCCTTCCTAGTTCGCTTGCCTCCAAAATAGTCTGAAGAGACAGAGCAGTAAATAAAGCCAGAATAAAAGATAAATATATACAGATTGATCTTATTTTCACAGCTTTCAGTTATTAATGTATTAACAGGACCATGTACATTTATAAACATTTCTGTAAATGCAACAACATTCGCCAAAAGGGCCATATTACATATAAAAATATTATAATACAGTGCAAAGACAGATATAGAATATACATATACATTTTATGCAATTATTAGATCTCTAATTATAAAGTTATCAGCAATCAGCACTGTAAACCTTTTATCCGTCACAGGCCTTGTTTGAAATATACACAGAGAACCTACTCTTGGTATGTTTAATGTGTAAACATGTACTTTTTAAAAAGTCCTTTTTAATCTTACTAAAAAAAACTTAAATATAGAGACACTGTGCTAAAGAATAGTGTGTTTTGATAATCATGTGAAATTGATATTCTTTACTTATATTGTGTGGAAAACACAAAAATGTAAAATAGCAATGCAATCCCTCAATGTGAAAACGTACTCGGATCCAGCGGCCATGTCTGAGTATGACGTTTCAGGCGTAGTGACTCCAAGAGCAATTACTATGCTCATGACGTCCAGCACAGCGACGCTCTGGGAGGGGGAGGGGCAGGGGGGGAGGAGAGGGGTGGGGCAGGGGGGAGGGAAGGAGGCGAAGAATCACAGGGTTCCAGCTACAGCCACAGAGCACGCCAAGGGTGGGTGCCACTGAGCCGCACGCCACGGCCCACCGGCATTGGGACCTAAGACACACAAACAACACCATCAAAACATTATCATTTTATTTTTCATACAGTCAAGAAAAACTTGCATCTTTTACAAAAAAGTTTAAAAAACAATGTAGTGACATTGTAAACAACAAGTAAACAACATTTTGTTCTACGTTTTAGAAGAAGGCATCCTCCTGCTCTTTTCCTTGTTTGTGTGTTATTTATTATATTAGCAATGCAAGATTACATTTTTTAAATTACCAAATCAGATTTAATTCAGCACAGTACTTTCCAGCTCAGTAAGAGGAATAAAACAGTTTTAGAATTATGAAAATCGGATAAGTGGTTATGATTTTATTACCATATTGATAAGTGCTTTTAGGCGCTTATATAGTGAAAGTAATTTGGTTTAAAACAAAGGGATACTGTGGAACCTTCTATTCAGCCAGTTCAAGCCTTTATTCATCTTCTAAGTGCTGTAACTTCCCTATTTTACTAACTATAAACATTAAAATTCACAGTAAAGAAGGAAACAATTCAGGGATGTTGAATTCGATATTCATTTTACAATTTGGCCGACCCCGATTCCAATATGGCCGCCAGCTTATCCAAGATGGCTGCCAACATGAAATCCGGAAAACATTTTTTTCAAACTACTATGTAATATATCAAAATAAAGGTAATTGATGGAGCAATCTTAAATATGATGCTTAGAAATGTTTTTGGCATATGCACACACACACACACGTGTTATTTATGAGACTAAAATTACAGACCGCAGCTTTAAACATGTGTTATTTATGAGACTAAAGTTACAGACCCGAGCTTTAAACATGTTATTAATGAGACTAAAGTTACAGACCCCAGCTTTAAACATGTGTTATTTATGAGACTAAAGTTACAGACCTCAGCTTTAAACATGTTATTTATCAGACTAAAGTTACAGACCTCAGCTTTAAAAATGTGTTATTTACGAGACTAAAGTTACAGACCTCAGCTTTAAACGTTATTAATGAGACTAAAGTTACAGACCCCAGCTTTAAACATGTGTTATGAGACTAAAGTTACAGACCTCAGCTTTAAACATGTTATTTATCAGACTAAAGTTACAGACCTCAGCTTTAAAAATGTGTTATTTATGAGACTAAAGTTACAGACCCGAGCTTTAAACATGTTAACAACCCAAACACCCTTGTTAACATGTAAAATGGATTAGTCCAACCAATGGCATTGGTCCGTTTGGGCCACGTGACTCGCGTTTCTACCCCCCGGAAAAGTGGACTCGCCCGGACTTGCCTGCCGCTTCGGCAGCAGAGCAGAGTGTGTGATGAGCGCGGCGGTTTTTCAACTTTATTCACTGATCCGCGGGTCAAAACAACCGTGACATGATTCAAATATACCATCATTCTAAAGCTTATAATCTTAGATGTATGTGTGTGGTGTTGGTTTTCCAAAACCCCGGTTACTTACCGTGTATTTTGCTATTAAGTTCGTCGGATTATATCTCCGTAACCGCAACAGCTGGAGAGATGCCGCTTTCACCGTAATGCGCAGTAATAAGTGATCTGTTTACCTGGTTAATATCACCTCGCGGCGACGTCATTAACCCGCGCGGAATGCCGAGGATATCCCGACTCATTTTTTTTCAGAGTCCAGACTATCTGTGGCCCACTCTGCCTCATATTCGTCAACTTTATTAATTCATATCTCAGGAAATAAACGGAATATCAGAACAATCCACACATTTATGGATTCTATGAATAAAAATATGTTTATTGATAGTGGTGGTAGCTATATATTCTGATTATTTAGCTGCTCAGAATCAAATGAACTAAAGTGAGTAAGACAGCGACCTCTTTTCACCACAGCGTTTCCACTGAGTCTTGCATTGCTAATTATATATGAATAATAACAATTTAGCATTCACATATTAAAATCATAGGTTCAATAAATATAGAAAGTTTAACTGTGTAATCCCTTAATTCAAAGTTTAAGGAATTTGGAAGCCAGATGCAATTACTCTGCTGCCTTATTAACTGAGACAATCAGCAGACAAATATATAGAGTGAACGAAAATATGTGATCAAAAATAGCACCAATAAAAAGTAGATCAGAGCAGAACTCAAATGATCCACAACAAACTACAGATTTCAAATCTTGGTTTAATTTTCATTTAGGCCAGTGATTGTGGAAAATACCACTAGAGGGCACTAACTGCATTCTATAACTATTTACAGTGACTCATCCACTGCATCATGTGATTACACCATGGAGCCAACTCGACAGTGTTTTCTCACGCTCTCTCACTGCTCCCAGGCAGGATGAAACCACTCACAAACAAGACAAAGTGCTAGCTTTGTCATTAAAGACAATACAACAAATGTCAAAAGCAAAACTGTTGTGATACTGTCTTCAAGTTTCCTTCCTGGTGCCGTCAGTCTGTGCAATGAACAATGAAGACTGATGAGCACTGCCGACCTCGCATGTCTTGCATCTGTGCATTGTGCAATAATGTGCAATAAGTCCCACCACATGTGTCCACTATCCCTTAAGTCACTTTTAGCCCAGAGCCTCATGCTGCTAACATGTAGTTTAACCACTGTGAATATTTGAACTCACAGAGTGAATTACTTATTACCTCAATATTCTTGCACTCGAGTGTATCACAGATGTATCTACAGATGTATACGTAAAAGTATATCTTTGCACAAGAAAATACAGGTTTATACCTCACGTGTGTATACTTTCTATACTGTGTCTTCATAACACTAAAGTATGGAGTTGGGCTATACTTCATATTCACTCATCTTGTGTGCTCCTCAGTCCTACTGTTCTATAACTTGTGATGCAACACTGAAATCTCCCTATTGTGGGACAAATATAGGATCTCTTAATAGTACGGACCGCACATAATTGTCAACATTTAAGGCCTATAATCTTCAGTATGGCGACAGTAGCTCAGTTGGTAGAGCATTGGCCAGAAGGTTGTGGGTTCAATTCCCACCTCTGCACCTTCTCCACCGACTCCCACTGATGACTGCTGTCGTTGTGTCCTTGGGCAAGACACTTAACCCCACTTTGCCCAAAGCCTCCACTGAAAGATCAAGGCTATGCTCACACTCAGAGAGCAGCCGTCCTCCTGTGGACTCACCACCTGCAGAGGGTCAGTGAGGGGCTGGTGCTATGAGACTTGGGTGGCATCTCTGATTGCCACCCCCCTGACCCAGAAATGGATTAAAGGGTAGAAAATGGATGGATGGATGGATCTTCAGTTGAAATGTTATGTCATCCCAGGACAACAGTGGTACAAAAGCTCAACATGTTCAAAATAAGGGTCAAAACAAACTTCCAACTTTCAAAATCTGTCTTCTTAAGCCACAGTGCGGCGTACCCAGGACCCCAGAAAACTGCATTAAAATGGACAACGGCGAGTCTATCATGTATGTGTGGCAATATGAACATTTCACACATTACAAGGGCAACTTTATAACAGAAAGAGCAGCATGTGCAAAAGCCCAAACTTTGATGGTGAGCGCTTCACTCTTGTCACGCCGCTTTTATTGTGCTAATTATTGTCCCTCGTGTGACTATACTTTTATAACCTCCACAGGCTACTACACAGTTCCGTGTTTTTGCAGGCAAGAGTACCCTTTTATTTGGACATGGCAATCAGTGGGAATGTCCCTATAGATATATTCCATGTTTTTTATTCAATTTGATTACAAGTGGAAAGAGTCTTTTGTAGGGATGCACCGATACTAGGGCTGGGCGATAATATTGGGACATGCAATACATATTTTTACAAGATAAATAACCCTCCAAAAACTACTGCAAATACAAATCCAAAGTCTTTTTTTTACTGAACCTTTCTTCATTCAAAAATAAAACTACTCAACTCAATGTGCATATAGGAACAAAGTGCTTCTGCAAAATTAAAGATAAGAAAAAATTCAGACTACATTAATAGTAAGTAACTTGTTCCAATCCACACATACAAATTGTATTTAGATATAGCTCCGGTGCTAGCAAAGGTTACTCTGCACGGTGGTGAGTTTTATCAAGTTGCTGGTAAGAGTTTGTTTTGGACTCACCTCGTGACAGTTTTGCCTTAACACACAACGTATAGTCCGCTTTACTCATGTCACTTGTTTACTTTTAAAAACTGCCATATGGCCGACATCTTGTCGGCTTGCCGCTAGCTTGCTGGTTCACAGGTCTTACTCGCTCTTGCTTGACCAACCAGAACCACAAGAATTATGAATAATTATTGTAAAAATAATTAGACTTAAAACCCTACAGAATTTAAACATGTTAAGGAAATGGCAATCTTCAAACATTATAGTATATTTATTACAAAGCTCCTCACAGCAGCAGTAGAACGCTCCATTGATTTGAATGTAATTTCAAAACGTTCTACCGGCCATTTTTACTTTATAACGGACCTCTCAAAACAATAATGACCGCACTCCGTCCTTGTAATTCAGATGTGTAGATTACTCCGCAAGTAGTTCCGGCCGCTCCGGAGCTATCCACGTTCAATAAACACAAATACCAATCAATCAACAAATTTAAATGTTAAATCGGAGAATACATTATACATATAAATTCTTAATACACATGCACGGAGGATTTCAGAAGTATCCGTTTAGGTTTTCATGACAAAAATACTTAAAAAAATACATTTTAGGACACATTTGCAGAGGATCGAATTATGGATTTAGGTTAGGTTTATGTTTGGGTCACTCACCGCTGATGTTCAGAATTCTTTGTTCGATTTTCATGCAGTTCGAGAGAGTTCTAGTTTAGAAGTTGATAGCCTAACCGTTACTCGCATAGCCACGGGAAAGCCTTTGGGAACTATTTTATTTTCTGTCATTAAATAAACCTTTCGGCATTCCGAAGAGTGGACTGAAGTTTATTTTGTGTGTTCTGTTGGCACAAAGCCGTATAATAAGCGGAATAATGTATAGTACACAGGTCATTATCGGAAAATAAGTACCTTACCCATACATAGTTTCACCCAAAAAACTTTG